AAGCCCTCCTTCAGTGGTACAGCTCAAATGGTGTTTAATGACTGCATTAAGTTCCAGCTTACCTGTTTCTGGTGAGAAGAAGTAATAGAAGACAAAGAAGTTTCGTGTTAAAGCCACAGAGTTTGTTGTAACGAGAAAAGTCAGGCTGTTTGAAGATGATTGGAACACTGGGACGGCGTCAGTGTTGCTACACACTTGTCCAAGAAGAGGTGAATTAGCTGAGGGACCATCATAGACTTTAATGCTTTCTGTTTCACAGCTTGAAGAAGGATTGAATCTATTTAAAAAAACCAAACACAAACAGAACAGATAAACATCTAGGTTCCTTAGAGTCCACAGCACAAACTCAGTAAGCATTTTACTGAAGCAAATACAGATAAATATTTGGAGGCTGCAATGTCTTGAGATGAAATTAAGATTTTCAGCCTGATATATTTCAATATTCTTCAGTGTTCTGTTCTGATGGAATGAAATGCTATCAGAACAGCTGGAGGAGATACTTACTTGAAATATGAGAAGACGAGCCTAATTGTTTGATTATCACTCCTCTGAATGTGCCAGACACAGTTTGCATTTGAATTGAGGTCAATCTTAAATGCTTTGTTGGGGTCTGAGAACGAAGCACCGCATCGAGGTAGACCTGCTGGGGAACAGCAGGACAGCAATCAGCCCAGCCTTGCAACAAGGTCTGATCCTGCACTGTGCAAACTCTGGGACAGTCCACTGCAGAGCAAGCAAGCAAAGCATTGTACCATTTCGATTTTTCGTTTCTACTGTCATCGCTAATGAAACATGAAGAATCAAATAGGAAAAGAGTATTAGCAAATATTTTTTTCTCCTTTTTTTCACAAATAGCAGAGAAAATGGAGCTAGGGAAACACATACAGCTGAAGCCAAAGGCAAAACTGGAAATTCCAGATGATACAGGACATCTCTCATTGGGAAGGTTGGTGGTTACAAGCACCTTAAGCCCTGTCTTCCCCCTATGCTCTCTTCCTGAGGATCTTTGGATTTAGTTCTGGGTTTCAGCCCTTTACATGAAAGCACCTGGAGATCTGCGCCCAGGGAATCAAAAGAGTTCTTCAGATTTGAGCTTCTGAAGGACCGTGCGTATGATTGGTGCTGCTCACAGTTCTGGTCTTCCATCTCCAAAAGGATACAGCTAAAGAGGGGAAGCTTCAAAAAGTGGCAACAAAGGTGAGCAAAGGTTTAGAGAAACTTCTGGACGAGAAATAAACAAACAGCTTAAAGCAATGTAGGACAGAAAAGAGGAGCCAGAGGTCTATATTTGTGGTGAGGTGTTCTCTTCCTCTATAAAAATTTAGTGGCCTGAAAAAAACCCACTAAGCTGTGTTTTCAAAGCAAAGGAGCCAGCTCTTTGCACACAGATTTTTGCTGTGGATTGATGTGGATTTTAAAATTAAACATCAAAACAGCTTAAAACTCTGAGAAAAAAATGACTTGGGTAACTATCAAACACCAAGAACAATTCCTCTTCTGTTCAGGACAGCTTAAAGCAGCAGGAAGCATTTCCTATACAGCATCTGCAGTCCCAGATAAAGAGGTTAGAATTGCTGCTGAACTCCAGAGGGGAAAGAAAGGTTTAGGAACAAACCTTTGTGGTCACATAGGAAACCTCTGAGCTGTAAGAGCATTACAAGGTCAGCTTTGCCTGACATGGCACCAATACTTCATTATTTATCCCACAGCCACCACAATGCCCAAACTCTTTTAAAAAGCAACGCTTTCCAAGTCACTTTAGCCCTATTATTCCAAGTCACTTTAGCCCTATTACTCCAATACAGTATTAATTTATAAAAGCACATTTCCATTCCGGAACAAAATCTCTTCAAAATTGATTTCTTAAGTTAAAAATTTGCCATAACTAGCCATATATTGCCATTTTTGGTTGTTGCTGTTGTTATTACAATCTTTAGCAGTTACTAACATCTGAGTGTGCCAATATCTTGCAGCAGTATGCTAAAATAAGATGCACTTAGAGGTACGTTTGACATTTTTCTCTTCAGTTGCCTAATAAATAGTTCAAGAGCTAATTAAATTCCACAAAAAAGAATGTTATGTTCCATACCCATAAATTCTATCGAGTTGTCTTCAGCAAAAGCCACAGCAGCTAAAAGAGGCAGCAGGAGGAGCTGCCTGAGCACCCACATTTTGATGGCAGCTGCGGTTAGCAGCTGAGGGTTTTCTGCCTTTTATACCTCCTGCTATTTCCTAATCATCTCGTACTGCGTGGTCCTGCAGAGGGAGGTCTTAATATCTCTGTTGCTTTTTCCTTTTAACTGATTACAAATGAGAAAGTCAACAGATGTGCCTTTTTTTTTTTTTTTTCTTCTTCTCACATGTGCTGCGTGGAAGGAACTACGCTTTCATCAGCTCCGAGTCCTGTGGTTTTAAAGCATGTTTTTCTGTTGGTTCTTTGAGCATCTGTTCAGGTGTGCTGACATTGGTCTGAACAGAAATGTGCTGAGTGGGACAGACAGCCACGTCCAGCCTTCGATCAGAGAGAGCTCCATTTTGGCACATATCCTTCTAGGCTGCACTGGGCAAATCAGTGTGTCCTTGTTGGAGATTCCTCAGCTTGTAAAATATCATAACAGAGTTGTCCTGAGTAGTAATTTCCTGAATTTGCTGAAGCTTTTGTGGCTGTACAAGGTCAGCCTAATGCCAGCCATGGATTTAACTGAACAGAATTAATTGCACTGCAGTCGCTTTGTGAGTAAAACTGGTTTCAGAGTAGAAGCTCCAACAGCCCCAATTAGAATCATAGATTCATTAAGGTTGGGAAGCCCTCTAAGAATCCCCAAGCCCAACCCATGCCCTCTGACCACGTCTCTCACGTCCATCTCCACGGCTCTTGAGCAGTTTGTCTTTCCTGAAAGACTGATGCTCTTTAAAGTGGAGCATTTCCTTCTGCAGCAGCAAATAGCAGAGTTTAAAGCTTCCACAGGCTGCGATGCTGATAGTGCCACAGATGGCCTTGTCCTTTGGCATGTGCCCAGCAGGGCAGATTGGGAGCCTTGCTGGGGGAATCTTTCCAATGTGAAGAGGTGCAGCTGTGCAAACAGGTGTTCTTTCGTGTTCCCTAGCAAAGGTAAACTGCAGAGCAGACCTCCTTGAAACACATCCAGGTGCTTCTCATTTATAACCATTTCTTCTTTGCATAAAACAAAATTCCTATCTTTTATATGCAAATATTGAAATATGATGCATCTGCAACGATGCTACCGTTTTAGTCTCGGAGCAGTACCTTCCTTAAAACATCCCTCCCCATGATTTTTAACTGCCTTTAAGGATTCTGAATGTAGTTCTCTTCCTCAGGACAAGATATTTATACTGACTTTAAATGTGGAATGGAATCACAGAATCATTAAGGTTGGAAAAGACCACTAAAATCATATATCCAACCATCAACCCATCACCAGCATGCCCATCATCCTGCATACAAGAGGTATGGAGTACGTTCCGTATTTGAACCTTCTTTTGATTCCAGAAACACTGAATTTACATTTATCCTTTATAACCTTTCATTTCTTGAACCCACACACATATTTGCAAGCAATTTTCAGCTGCTAACACCCACTTTATATGCATTTAAAACATGAACTGGTGTACAAAACTCAGCCCTGGTCATTGCTGTGTCCAGCAGCACTAGGAATAAAACCCTCTGTGGCTGTTATGTGCTGGTACCTACAGCTGGTAGGCAAATTCTTGGGAGTTTCTTGTGTATGGGGAAATCCTGCCCTGCATTTGCTCTAAAGGATCTGGAGCTCTGAGCCCAGTGTCAAGTCTGAGTCTCAAATTTTTGCAAATTCTGCACGTTAAGCCCATGTTCAGATGGTGCAATGTGCTCACGTATCAGGCAGTGCTGAAGTATTAATGACCTGCTGTAAGTTCCCTCTTCCACCTCCAAAGAAAATGGCTGGTAGGTCTTCAGGAAAGCCCTCTAAAATGGGAACAGGATGAGTGTATGGAAGGTGTTTTAAAATAGCTGATCCTTAGAACAAATTAGTGTGCATTTTGGAAAACAGGAACAAGGATTCAGCTGCTGTGGATCTGTTATTTACAGGCACTTTTCCTCACTACCTGTGGCTGGGAGTGCAATAGCAGAGAAAATGTGACTTCAAGCACTTTAAATCATTACCTGTGGGAAGCAGAACAGCAGGGTTACCAGCACAATGGAGTTCTATGTGAATGAAGTGCAATTAGGAAATACTCCAGCTCAGGGCTGAAGTCTCAGCCATTTTCCTACCAGGCATTACAGTCCCTCTGGCTTAGGATTGGCACTAAGTGGACCAGGCCATGGCACAGCCACCGTGACAGAGACCTGGTCAGGTTGGATCAGATCTAAGCATCACACAGAGCATCTCATTATGAGTTTGAGCCATTTGCAGATATTCACTGTATGGAAACTGAGTATTGGCCTTCAAGATCATCCCAACAAATCTCACCACATGACAAAACTTAATACATCTCTCTCCTGTAGAGTTCTGCAGTGACTTTCAAGATACTTTTCTCTCTTATGAACTGAAAGCTACTGTTTCCCTATCTCATTTCCAGTAGGGCAATTGAACATATTGAGTTAAACACATTCTTGGCTCAAAGTAATACAGTCTGAACAGATATTGAAAGTAGAGGGATGAAACAAATACATATCATGAAGAAAATATGTATCTTTTCAGGTCTAATCTCCAGCACTAAAAACTAATATGGAAAATGAGAACAGCTTATAGGTATTGGAGAGATTACTGATCTTTGGGCATGGACAATATTTCTCCAAATATCGTTGAGCTCCTATTTAAAATAATTGCTCAGATGTTATTGGTTACAAGGGGTTCTTATTCTTCTTGAGCTTGTAAAGCAACCCCCCTGCTTTACAAGGCAGGGTAGTAATTCTTGAATACTAAGTATTTGAGTTACAGAGTACAATGGGGAGAACCAAAAGAAGAAAACAGTCTTGGTGGAAAAAAGAAAAAAGCTGATCCATTACAGTTTATCACTGAGTTTTTACTGAAATTTAGGCTTTTACAGATCTGGAATATAGATCCAAAATTCTGAAATTAAGGTACACAAGTACAGTTAAGATTAAAATACCTTCAGATTTACGGCCCGTAGGATGTATCTGCAGGATGTATTAGCAGGCGTGCAACCTGCTGATCACATATATAAGTGATCAACGTGATATGAGGATTAGAAGAAGTGTTACTGGGGCTACTGTAGTCTGGAGACAATAATAATGACATTTCCATCGCCATCTCTTGTGCTTCTTTTGCCTCTGGCTATGCAGCCCTGGTTGCAGCGGGAGGAATAATCATATCTGTCACACACTGCCATCTTGCACTGCAGGTAAACTGATGAGTATCTGGTGATAAAACTGGGGGCTCTGAATCGGAACTGGACAATCCTCCTGTCAGGTGACGAGTAGCTCCTATAGGTTGGGTCTCTGACACACCTGAGAAAAGAGAAAAGGAAAAAGGAAATAATACCGTTATCGCACAGAAATTATGATGTGGTTTTTGTGTCATTTGTTTCGTTATTTACTAGCAATTTTCTTTCCATTTATCTCTGAGATTCATCACAATTTATAGTCCAGAACTCCTGAACGCAGATGCAGTAATACAGAAATTATATAGGTAGGTCAGTATATGTAATGAAACATACATAACGACCACACATATATGTAAATTAATAAAAGTAGAGCATCTGTTGGAATTCTAAGTATATGAGAAAGGACTATTGTGTAGCCCTGTTATCTTTACTTCAGCCTTTGGCTTTGTAAAAACTACAAAGAAACAAACCCGTATCCCAAATCTAACAAAGACACTTCAATGAGTGCTTCATTCTTGCCTAATTTTTTTTTTTAATAAAACGTGTGAAACGCTTTCTGAGAATTTATACGGATTTCTCTTCCGTAGCGGAATGCAATGGTGAATTAAGCAGACTATGACAGCTTAAAAAGATGTGCTTGTTGTATTAGCTAGTTGATGTAAAATCCAGCTGCTTCTCACTAATGGATAACTCAAATATTTCATAGAATCATAGAATAGCCTGGGTTGAAAAGGACCACGATGCTCATCCAGTTCCAACCCCTGCTATGTGCAGGGTCGCCAACCAGCAGACCAGGCTGCCCAGAGCCACATCCAGCCTGGCCTTGAATGCCTGCAGGGATGGGGCATCCACAACCTCCTTGGGCAACCTGTTCCAGTGCCTCACCACCCTCTGTGTGAACAACTTCCTCCTAATATCTACCCTGAACCTCCCCCATCTCAGTTTAAAACCATTCCCGTTTGTCCTGATGTGTTTCACATTAATACCTTACAGAACTATGGCTTTTTGGTATGTCTATTTATTATTTCCCATATCGCCTCAACCACACGCAAGGAATAGCTTTGAAATGGCTGTCGAGATATTTTCCTTACCCATTTCGTATGATATCAGATGCCACGGTCACAAAGTCACGGGGATTTGGAGAGACCACGCAGGTGTCTGCAAACAGCATCAGGTTTGGCTGTGTGCTGTACAGGGTGGCACGAACAAACAAATCCCGGCTCGGCATTACGTAGTATGGAGCTGCCCTCACTACGTTTGTGAAAAATGGTGAATCATAAAAGGCAAACTTGACGACGAATTGTCTAGATGGAGTTTCCTGGTATGGAGGCCGTATGACGCTGGGTATTGTTTGGGCACCAGCGTTGTTGTATATTTTGCAGGCGAAGTTTAACAGTGAATTTCTATTTCTGCTGTAGAAGTTGCCAGAAATGGATCCTTCCACTGTGTTGGAGTAAGTGATGGCTCCACGTGATATCTGTTGAAACATTAGCAGGTTAAGAGCTGCAGAGGAATGCTGAAACCATTTCCTAAATGCTGCTGGAAGGGGGGCACAGGCAGAGGAGAAGCATAGCCTAGGTGTCTGTGCTTGGCCACCATGGCCTTGCTGCCTGGCCTCAGCCCTCAGAGCTGCAAGGCTGTGAGAAGGTCTGCAGCACAGTGCCAGGTGAGATAAGGGCTAACACGGGTCAGCTGGAGGGATGGCTCGTTTGAGGTCATTTGCAGCTCAAGGATTCGAGAAGGAAAACAGCTTCATAGGTATAAAGTCCTAAAGGAAAAAAGAAAAGCACAACATGGAAAACAACATGGAGCCAGCAGAGAATGGCAGCTGAGCACAACAAACACATGCTCCAAAGAGCCACGGGGAAAGAACCTTCTTCTCCTGAATGGTACCTTGCCAGCAAAGCCTCTCTGGGAGTCTTAGTGGATGCAAACACCCCGCTAGTTAATTTGTGCTGCATTTGGTTGTATTCACCAAAGTGAGTGTGGGTTTGCTTTATGTAACTAAACTCTGCCAACCCCCTAGCAGAATTTTGTGCACAGCTAAATGTGAGAACAAGGTGACCCGAAGAGCAAGTGTTACAAAGGGAAGGGGAAAAAAAGATGAGGAAGGTTCCTAATAATCTGCATAGCTTAGAATCAAGAACTTTGAGAAACGTAATTTTGTTGTGGTCTTAATATAGTGCTCATCAATGCTTTGTTAACATAATGCTGTTGATATTGGTGCTCCACCTCAACAAGGTCATGTGGCTGCATCCTCCCATAACAAGCATTAGAAACGCTCTTGAGAGCTTCGCTCATAGATAACTTGGACTCTGTCTTGGCACACAGTAATTTCAGCCCCTGAGGTTCTCACCAGCCTCTGTGTGCCACAGCCATCATACGGTATGCGGAACATGACATGGTAGCTGCTAATCATAGGCTTGCACCTGGGGTCCCTCAGGTGGATGTCACTTGCAAGGTACCCTCGGGAGTTGATGTAGGATCTCCTGATGATTGCCCGCATGTAAGTAGGCAGACAAGTAAGGGTTGCTGGAGGAGAGGAAGTTTGTTAATAAAACATGTTTTGCTGTACGGTATAATGCAGCATGTATTAACTACCATTATGCTTTACGACTGTAGATGCGGGCTTTACTGGCAATAACAGCTGGCTGCAATAACCCCTGAGCTGTTTCTTTGGTGATGAGATCCCTCAGGAGTGTGCTGGCACACCTGGCTGGCAGCCTGGCAGTCTGCTGGCAGATGTTTCAGCTGTGCTATGCCCATAAACGTAGCAGACATAGGCCAGCCTGTCCCTCAGTGCTACACTGGTGCTGAGCAGATGCCCTCTGCTAGAAACTGCCAGCCTCCCCCAACTCACATCTTGCCCAGCACAGGGGGAACTTAGGAAGAAATGTAATTAAAAAGAGGAAGGAAGGAGAAGAACTTACCCTGGTTTATAGGTACTGGCTTTGGAGAAGCTTTTAATGGGAACAAGAAAAGCAAAACAAAAAAACAACAGAGTAAGTGAGAGTGAATGATAAAAATACTTGTGCTTGTATGTGATCAGCTTACACAGTGATAATCATCTGAATGCAGTCTGACTAGAAAATGGTAGAATCAACCGATCTGAGGAATGGAATTGTCAAAAGGTTCGTACTAAGAGAAGTGTACAGACTGGAATGATGGCATATTGCTAGCACTAAGGGAACAAGGTTTAATTCTGCTTATTCATTTATGTAGTCAGATGACTACACAAATGCATGCACTGCAACGTCAGATCCCTGTATGTTGCCAGCACAAGTACAGATGTTTTATTGGTGTGTCTGGAGTGTCATTTAGCAATGTGCAGCTAATAGGGCCAGACTTTAAAAGAAGACATTAGTCTGCCTTCAAGCATTTGAGGTGTGATATTTGCGATGTATGAGCAGAACTTGAAGTTTTTTCAAAACTTAAATCCTGTTGCAGGGAACTTTAAGGTTCAAACCAAATATCATTAGAAATATCAGAAATTCACAGTGAACTCAACGTGGGAAGGTGCTGACTCCAAGAACAGAGTGAAATGGGGAGCTGTGTCAACATGTCATCAGATCACAGCACTGAGGGCTGACCAAGTGCTTAAACCAAAATAACTCTGCATTACTTACAAGTGCTGATTTCTGTGTCTTCAGGAGTTGAAGAGACTGGTAGAGTCGAGGAGACCGATGGAGTTGTTGAGGCTCCTATTGTGAGAAGAGAAAATATGGAAGTAAACATTGTCTGAATCTTAAATACATTAGTCCTTCATCTGACAACAAGTGTGTACCCCACACAAATTAGGCCAAGGTTTCCTGGTGGCTTTTCTTGCCTGGGGAACTTCCCTGGGCTCTGAGCTCTGTTCATGAGCATCAGGTTTTTTTTCCTTGAGGAAATCAGCGATTTTGTGCTAAGCTTAAACATGACTCCAATTGCAGTAAAGCAACACATACCTGGTGCTTCAAATGTGGTGCTGCCTGCAGGTGCTGGTGGGACACGAGAGAGAACACAAAAATTAGAAGGGCAGGACAGGTGGGATGTGCATGCAGGGCAGGAGAGCCCCAGGCTCACACACACACTGACTGCACAGCCCCAGGAGATGAAGCCATGCTCAGCCCCATGCTGGGGCTGCTGGGATTCTGCTGTAGTGAGGAAGCATCACCAGCTCCAGAACTGTGCCATGGCTTGGATGCTGGATGATACAGAAACGCCAGTACTGTCTGTGATGTGGGGTTGCCCTAGGAGCAACGTGGTCCAGTGCTAACCCCAGGTTATAGTGGCCCTGTACCAGCACCAGTTCCTCCCTAGCTGGGTGTGGGAGCCAAGGGAGAGGTCACTGGGATTACCCCAGGAGTGAATGGTTAGATCCATGAGATTACATGCACACTGGGAGCCAGCCAGTGCCTGGTCACAGGTTGGGCAGAGATCTGAGAGTGTAATGCTGAGCATCACTTACAGCTGGTAGTGGCTGCTGGTCCAGGAGTGGGAGAGGTGGTTACTGGGAAAAGCAGAAAATGAAAAATTACTGTCCACAGCAAAGGAAAGACTGCTGACGTTGAGGAAATTGTGGTTTTGTGCCAAGCTTAAGCACCACACCAAATGCAGTAAGTGTAAAGCCATACATACCTGGTGCTTCAGATGTGGTGCTGCCCGCGGGGGTTGCTGGACATGGGAGAGAACACAAGTGTGAATTAGAAGCTGCCCAGGGCAGGACAGACAGGATGTGCCCACAGCAATCACGCACAGCCCCAGGGGATGCTTCTGCATCCTGAGCAAAGCCATAAGGTCTGTAAGCAGAAATAAGTACCTGACGTTTCAGCTGTGGTGGATTCAATTGGGGCTGCCAGGGAGAAAGCAAGAGCCAAGCATTAGCAGTCCCTAAATTATCATGTGAGCAAAGCAAAACCTATCCAACCAAAGCCAAACTGACATTAAGATGTAATTAAGACCAGTGTAATCAGACCCCCATTTCAGCTCCACTGTAGCAATTGCCTTCACCTGTGCTCCCAGGGCTGACCAGGTCCTTTCCCCAGGTGCTCAATCAGTGGCTCAGGCCATGACTCAACAGTTCCCATACACCATGCCCACTAATCATGACCCTAATTGCATGCCTATTCATGTGAGTGCTGTGAGCTTTTGGGGCTAACAATTCGTTAAGGGCTGTCACCTCCCAGTAGCACTGCTGAAATCAAGGGCAATCAGCACTCCATGATGGGAGAAATAATATTTGCCTACATCTGAGGTGACTGAGTGGTGAAGTGCTCCATACCTGTTGTTTCAGGAGTGGTAAGATCCAAAGGACCTGTTAGGAGAGAAAATAAACACCATCAAAAAAATGAAAGCTGGACCATTGTTTATAAAGAGAGATAAGCAGAAGCACAGCCTGGTATCCCCTAGACCATGACCTAGGAGATGTTATCTGATGCCCTGGAGAAGCCAATGCCACCCTACTGAGGGTGTCTATCAGCAGGGGACGTTGATGCAGGTGGTGGGGACAACAACAGTTCCATCCCAACTCCTCACCCAGACTGAATTGCTGCTGACAGCAGAGCAGCACCACCTCTGCACTGTATGCTGAGGTGAACAAGATGTGGACGATGTGCCAGCCAGCACTGCTTTTAAATAAAATAACCTAGGTGCAACTTGAGGTCAGTCAGGAAGAAAGCATCTTGCACTGTCATGTGCTAAAGCCTCCAGGCAGGTAAGGCTCATTCACGTTAAATAAAACATAGAAGAGGAGTACCTGTGCAGATAACACCAGCATCTTCCTTGTGCAAACAGTCGTGTGTTCCCAGCTCCCTGTGAGAGCACTGCACCAGGAAGGACTCATCCCCTGTGCATTTCACATCATCCATGAGGATATCTCCCGTGCCTTCCCCAAAAAAGGCACTTTTTTTGGCTGAGACGGCATCTCCGCAGCTCAGCTCCCTGCACACAACCCTGGCACTGTTTATGTCCCAGTCATCGTCGCAGATGGTTCCCCAGCTGCCGTTGTGGAAGACTTCAAGGCGCCCTGAGCACTCGTTGTCTCCATCCACCAGCCTCAGAGACAGCTCTTGGAAAAACAGAAGGAAACACGTGGTGGCTCAGCAGCCTCAGCAATGGGCAGATGCATTTACCAAAGAGGAAAAACCAAGCTGCTATGTAAAAATACATCAGATGTGAAAACTTTGCAAGACCTGCCTATGGAGAACTCACCAGCTGGGACAGGCTCAGTTGGAACTGGGGGAGTAACAGGCTCTGGAAAGGGAAACAGAAAAGTGAACTTCTGGTCTTGCTACAGTGGATGGTTAATGACATTCTTCAGTTCCTAAGTTAGGTAAAGAAAAGCAATAGTGACATAACGAAACCCATTAGTCTCTGGGAGCATGGACACAAATAGGAGAAGGCTTATTTCAGCCGTTTCACCTCAGTCTTTTTGGGTTCAGCAGATCTCTGGCACTGCAGGGCGAGGGGAAGGTATGTTTCTCCTGCTATCTCAAGCTCATTTGAAACTGTCTCCTTTCTGCTTTGTCTGAGCGCAGCCAGAAATCAGACATTTGCACAACCTGGGCTCCAGCTCTGTCAGAGGGAGGTGGGGTAGGACTGCCAAGGCTGCCTGCTCCAGCAGTGTTAAATAGGCAGCGCCCTGGTGTCTCTCTTGGAAAGTCCAGCAGACATATGGCCATCCTTTTGCCAGGGATGGAATAGTGCATGTTGGCAAATGGTTCTTTTGGAGTGATTTTACAGTAAATCCTTTATCTTTTCTTCCTATTTATTCCCTTTTCTTCTTCCGAGTGCCACCTTCCGACATTCCCATGTTCCAGTCAGAACACAGAATTGCTGGAAAACTGGGACCCGATTTGCAACAATCCTAAAGGAAGTTACTATTAAACACAAGAAGGGAACATTTTAATTACAACCGGTCATAGTTCATAACGTAGGGCAAATCAGCACTGAAATGTCACCCACCTGCACAAATGACTCCAGCATCTTCCTTCGGCTGACAGTTATGCACACCTATCCCTCTGTGAGAGCAGTCCCACAGGCTTCCCTCATCCCCTCTGCACTGCACCTCATCCAGGAGGATGTTCCCAGAGCCCTGGCCGAACTGTGCTTCAGGCACTGCCAGCAGAGGCTCCCCACAGCCCAGCTGCCGGCACACCACCTCTGCAGCCCCCAGATCCCAAGCATCATCACAGACTGTTCCCCAGCTGCTGTTGTAGTAGAGCTCCACGCGGCCCGAGCACCTGCTGTCACCATCCGCGAGCCGCAGGGACAGGGCTGGAACACCTGCTGGGGAGAAAGAACACCACAGTCAGTGTTATTGACCCAAGGCAGTGCTAGAGACTGTCTGCATCATTGGGATGACAGGGACCGGTAGCCTGCAGTGTGGTTGGATATGAGAAAGCATCCTCTGAATTTAGGTGCTGTTTTAGGATTGATATGATGAAGTCTTGAAGCCATCTTTCCAGTGGTTGATCACGCAGCACCCAATGGGCACAGACATAGTCCTCTTCCATGACAATTCGGGGAACGTGATCCTCATCCCTATAGGGTTCCTACCATTTCTTTACCATCTTTCTCATCTATATGGTAGCTTTGCCTAAAGGATGAACACAAACACCCAGAGCCAACGTTTCCCTGGGATACCTTGCAATCTAAGGAATATGGGTTTTTTTTTCTTCTTCTTTAAATAATACCTGATTGGTCTTCTTTTCACTCTGGCATAACAGATGGTTGGCACAGCATCATTTCCCCAGAATAGTAGCAGAGCTATTTCTACAGATCAGGCTCATTTCTGAGAGCTGGGTACTTATGGAATAATCCACACATTTATCTCACTTTCAGAGGGAAAGGCTTTTAGAGATCTGAAGTTCCAAATTAGTTTTATGGGTCTGGAGTGTATTTTTCTTTCAGAGAAAGAAATCAGAGACTCTGCCGACAACATAATTGAGTTCTTCTGAGTTTGTTGCCATCATAAACTGTACCAAGTATACACACCTGTCTTACTCCTTGGTAGGTCTGTGATTACAAGGTTTTCATTTCAGGACATTTTGCTGTCACCTGGCAGTCATTTGTAACCAACTAATGTACATCCATTCAGAATGAGTACCCTGTTCCCAAGGACTCTCTTTGCCCTTAATTCCTTTTTGCTGACCATGATCAAAGCTCCTTCCATCTGAGTACCGTGCTTATCATTTCCTTCTGCAAAAGTTGGCTGTAAAGAAATGTCAGGAGCGGCGTGCTTGGCTCGCTTCCCAAGATCAAGGCCTGAACTTCTGTGAGAGCTCCAAATACGATATCAGAGAGAAAAAAAGAATTGAGTCAAAAGATAACTAATTAAGCAGGTGCTGAGTAGTCATCAGCAATAATGAAAGGTGTTACATAAAAAGTTTAAGAACTAGATTTCATTAGTTATCTGTGTCTAGGTGGGAGAAAGAGGGAGATTAAAAATTAAGTATCCAGATCCAAACATTGAGTTAGATTACAGGCAGGAATAAATGTGTCATGATTCAGCTGATATTAAAAATATCAGTATTGAGAGAGAGGCAACCTCCAGATTAAATACACTGAGTAAATGAAGTATTTCATTAGTCTGAAATATGAACATTATATTTCTGATTAAATAACAGAACTGATTAAATGACAGCCCCAAGAATTGTTAATGTGTTTTGTATCTACAGACTGATGAAAGGCAGCTTTCTACTTTCAGCGAACGAATAAAAGAAAACTATTGATATTTACTTCTCCTGGAAGTCAGTGCTTTATGCATAGCTAAATGTAAAAAAATAATCAACAGAATTAGTAATCACTTAGTTTTCCTCAGCCTTTGACCCAAAGAACAGTTTTCATGTAGTTGTCATACTAAAAGTAACGAGACCATTACTTACAGCTACAGAGGAGCCTTTTTTTTTCCCCACTTTAACCATTGACCAGCTTCCCTGTTACACACAGTACGCCTAAATACGATGAAATTGTTGGCTCAAATACATGGGTGAATAGGCATAAGCAAAGCACTTAATAGTTACAAGCACTTAGTTGCATAGTTGTGAGGGTAGCATTAGGAAAGCACAAATACACTGTGTATTAGGTTCCATAAGCCTGCACAGTGCTCAATAGATCTGTCATTTAAGAAGAAATTCACATTCAAACTTCTGAAAGCCAAGAAAATAAAAATAAATGCCGAGGGATTTCTCAGTTTCACTGGTGTGTGCTGAGAAGTGCCCACTTCTTTTCATTCACTTGGAATAGATCCCAGTCTGAATAAGTAAGGCAGGCAGCAAAATCTGGTCAAAGCTCTGTTAAATACCCTTTAAAGTAGGAAAGTTTTCATTTATATCCTTTGGAAATTGAAATGACTGGCAGTAAAAGAGGTAGGGAAACACTGACTTAAATTCCTCCTCTGCTGTGCTGAACATTTATTTGCCTGTTAATTGGTAAGACATTTGCAGAAACTAGGGTGGGTGGATCCTAGAACTCAAATATGAACATATTGCTCAAAATCAGGCTAATGGGTGGAGCAGTAAGCAAATCTGTACCACTTTTCCTACAACTGCTGCCATGGGTGTGGAGTCACAGCTCTCAACTTCTGACAACATAGATAGAGCTGTCGAAGACGAGCAGATTTAGAAAAGGTCAGAAAGAGAAGAAATATCAGTTGCCTTGGTAATTGTTTACCACGTTCTGCAGCATCTTGACCTAACAGATGGCACGAGTGTTAGATAACCAGCCGCCACTACTGTACTGTAATGAAATCCTCAGCCATTACCTCTGACACTTTGGAACAGGACAGATAGAGTGACAGAAGGAAACGCAAGACCTGTGCGCTCTCTGGAGGACAGAATGAGAATTCAAAACGAACAGAACGCATGTCAAAAATCAGCAAGTTGAACTTCTACATCGACAGGTGCAATGGGATGCTCATTGGAAAGAGAAAACCAAGGCACAAAGGCTAAATCATCCTTTCAGCTGGCACAGAAGGACCGTGGAAAAACTGGAAGCCAATAACATTGGCACTGCAGTGAGCCAGTCCAACCTCGGTCCTGCTCTCAGAGTGATACATAGGAGCTGCTTATTCTTCTCAGCACTGAAGAGGCCTCAGCTGCTTGGTCAATGATTGCATATTTAATAAAGGTAGAGATAATGAGAAGAGCTGGGATGGATGATTCAAGAAATGCAACGGGCTTGAAAATCCTGAGCTCTGAGGAATGGTGTAAAGAGCTGTGGGAAGACTTTCAATAGCCTGAAGATGACTCTAAAAAGGATGGTATCCTGGTTGGACAGCCATGAGTTGTCTTGGCTGATGGCTGATGCAAAATGGCCCTGTCTTAGTGAAAATATGCTTCTGAGATTCACAAAACTTAAGAAATAATTTCATAGACCCATTAAGCCATTTCTGTGACAAAATCTCTGGCTGAATCTCTGGGGGAGGAAAACAGTAGGAACAATGAAAACCAATGTCCAAATGTGAATAGGAACCAAAGCTAATTATTTTGGCTAAAACAAAAACATACAGTAATAGCTCATCAGAATGCCTGTGCAGTATTTATAATTACAAGACCGGGGACATTCATCATTAAATGAATGTATTGCTGATACAACCCAATGGCCTTTCTCAAGTGAAGGTGTCACAGAAGGCCATGTTCCTTCACACAAACACTCAATTTCTTCTTGTCTGCTGTGAATATCCTACAATCTTAATCCAGCCTCAAACCTCCAGTTAACAGCATTAGTCTTAGAGAATGCTTGCAAAACAGCTGCTCTTACCTTCAGAAGTTGTGCCTGGGATTGCAGTAGCTGATGTGGCACTTCCCTCTGTGACAACAGTGGATGTAGAAGATGGCTCTGGGGCCACCAGCAAGTTGGGGAAACAAAGAGAAGGAGAGAATGGCAGCAGTTAGGAGTGAATGTGTGAACAGAAATCTTGATGCAAGTATGTGGGTATGGGCTTTGCAGGGAAGTGAGTGAATGCACAGCCCTCTGTTCTTACTGAAAAGAGGCATTCACCTTGATTTAACGTTTAATGGCAGTAGCTGCAGGTGTTATTTCTGACTGCCTTCTTCTACTGCTGGAGATGCAGTAGGCACTGCTAAGGACGCAGTGGCCATAGTTAGGGGCAGTGAGGGATGTGATCCTTGTTGTGTTTTGGAGTACCTGCAGCAGAGGAGTGCCTCACCTTCCACAGGGGTGGTCAGGGTCCCTGGAACAGCTGTTGGCTGTGTGGCTGCAGTGCTGGGGGCAGAGGAGGAAGCTGCAGAGAGGGTCAGGGGAGAGGAAACAGGTTATTAGACAGCATCACCTGAACTGGACATGAAGGAGAAATACTGGGGTGTCAAAGGGACTGCTAATGAACTGAGGAGATGCATTACTGGAGCAAAGCATAAATCAGCCACAGACACTTGAGCTGATATTTGGTGATATGATTTAGTTTATATAATCTAATTTAATCATAAACTTAAATACTCTTCTTCTTATATTTTATCACACAGAAGCTGTTTTTACCTTCAGGAGCTGTGGAAGGGATTTCTGGAGTTGAGGTCGCAGTCACACTCTCTTCTACAAGGGGGATGGGTGATGTTGGTTCTGTTGAGTTTTCAGAGTCTAACAAGAAGCAAGAAATAAGAAAACATGACAGCATTCAATAAGGCAGTATGGCTGAACTCAGTTCTTGATGCATTGAATTGGCTTCAAGCTTAGTGGAAAAGGAAATCCATGTACTCCCCACCATCCTTATCCACTGTCAGTGCTCAGAAATGAGTCTTCATGTCTTTGCATTACAAGCATCAGGAAAGTTTCAGACCTCTCTCTCAGTAACGAGCAAAGCAAAAGGAGCGTGAGAAGCAAAACTAGCAGTGAGTGTTGTAATTTAGCAGGGACAGTGATTGGTAGGTAACTTCCCAGCATGGTGCTGCTGTCAGCCTGCCCGCACTCCCAGAAAGCCAGCAGGCTGGTACCAAGCAAATTCAGTTTATTTCATTTGTGTTGGTTGCACTGAGACATGGTGGCTTTGCCCCATTTTTTAGCATGCCCATTGATTCCCTCCCCCAGACAAAACTTACAGCCACTTAAATAAATACAGCAGTTTTCTAACAGGCTGCGTTGTGCAGATGCCCTTTACCTTTCTGTGGCAAGGTGGGGGTTTCTGGTGCCCCATCTTCCTCCGTAGTGAAGGTGGAACCTGAGCAAACAGAAAAGGCTCTCAGGATGGGAAGTTAAATGTCTGCCAACAGCAATTAAAAGCAGGTGTGCTTTGAGGAATTAGGGACTTGCTTTAGATCTCAGGCTTGATAAACAGCTGTGTAATCAGTCTGTGAAATTACTAGAGAGGCAGGGGTCAAATTTAGGGAGATGATCTCACATGCCTGACTGTTCTTTAATTATCCTGGAGCTGTCATGAATCTTAGATACACCAATCACAATGATCTGGACATTTCTACTCCACAAAAGTTCACGTATAATGCTACAGCTACGGGCTCAGGGACATTCACCATTAAATAAATGTATTGCTGATACATCCCAACAGCCTTTTTTAAGTGAAGATGTCACAGAGGGCCTTGTTCTTTCACACAAATGCTCAATTTGTTGTTGTCTGCTGTGAATGTTCCATAGATTCACACAGCCACATCTTCATAATCCAGCCTCAAACCCCCAGTTAACAGTATTAGACCCCAAGTAACAGCATTAGTCTTAGAGAATGCTTGCAAAACAGCTGCTCTTACCTTCAGAAGTTGAGCCTGGGATTGCAGTAGCTGATGTGGCACTTCCCTCTGTGACAACAGTGGATGTAGAAGATGGCTCTGGGGCCACCAGCAAGTTGGGGAAACAAAGAGGAGAGAATGGCAGCAGTTAGGAGTGAATGTGTGAACAGAAATCTTGATGCAAGTATGTGGGTATGGGCTTTGCAGGGAAGTGAGTGAATGCACAGCCCTCTGTTCTTACTGAAAAGAGGCATTCACCTTGATTTAACATTTAATGGCAGTAGCTGCAGGTGTTATTTCTGACTGCCTTCTTCTACTGCTGGAGATGCAGTAGGCACTGCTAAAGACCCAGTGGCCACAAATGAAGATGGTGTTGGCCATTGGCTATTCCAAGGCTGATCACACACAGAGTTAAAAACACTGGTGCTGAAACACTTTGACTGAATTCCAAGTATTCTTGCCTGCTATAACCAAATTGCATACAACTGGATTTTATTTATTTATTGTAGATTTACAGCTTGGTTTTTTCTCTTGCCTTTACCTGCAGAAGTCGCCAGTTGTGTAGCAGGTGTTACAGAGCTGTCTGTGGCCAACGTAGTTGATGAAATTGTAGTTTGGGTCTTCTCTGTGGATACTGAAAGTTAGTGGAAATACATTATTGGAGAACCATAAGAATGGTCATCAGAACTGAGGCACTGGTGAAATAATGTGTATGTAAGGTTTTGTGTAGCAGTGGTGAAATAACCAGGAGTCCAAAGCCCACAGCTGGAATGTAAAGACTTGCCACATGCTTTCTCTAATTATTAGTTGGTGAAAGGCAATTAAAGTTCCTACAAACAATCCAAACATCCAGGCTGTTAGAATAATGAATTAATGAGGAAAATTAGGAACACGCCTTCTTCTACGATACTGTCTGGAAAAGAGCAGTAATTGCATGATTTTCAAATTAAAAATCAGTTTCTGAGCATTTAGGCATATTGTGAAGTGCTAATGGACTTAGATTGCAAAAGCCCTGCCTTACCTGTTGGTGCAATTGTGGACTGCCCTGCATCTGTGAACACAGAACAAAGCAAAAATTGCCATTAGCTGTGGCGTTAATCAAATTGCTTCAAAATAGGTGGCTTCAAGCTATGTGATCACTGCTTTCATGACATCTGGGATAGACGTGTTAATATTTATTTTCAATTCAGACTTGTTATAGTTCAGACCTGCTGGATGCGCTTCTGTCTGCTCTGAACTTGTTGCCTGCCTTATCTTGGGATGTCTGGAATCAGCAACAGGATGAGGGGAAATGGTTTTAAATTGGAAGAGAGTAGAATTAGATTGGATATTAGGAGGAAATTCTTCACTGTGAGGGTGGTGAGACATTGAAAAAGGTTGCCCAGTGAGGTTGTGGATGTCCCCTTCCCTGGAAGCATTCAAGGCCAGGCTGGATGGAGGCTGTGAGCGACCTGGGCTAGTGAGAGATGTCCCTGCCTATAGCAGGGGCTTGAAACGAGGTGATCTTAAAGGTCCCTTCTGACTCAATGATTCTATGACTGAAGGTCTTAAATGACCTTCTTCTCCCTGAATTCGTATTCAGTGCCTGCTGCTGCCGATTATGATATTTTGCACATGACATCCTTGTGTTCCTTGCTCACTTACTTCAGCCCCAGCATGAGATGCCTCTGCATGCACACAGCATCTGATTTCCAAATCCTACTCGGATGTTTCTCGCTTTTATGGTCAAGGATAAAATCCAAATCAATTTTTAGCAGCACAATTTTTTTTTTACCTGAGCAGATGACACTGACATCCTCATTGTGTCCACAGTCACTTTTGTTCCAGCCGGCATGTGGGCAGTCCCAAATGTGAGATTCGGTTCCTGCACACTTCACATCATCCAGAAGGATGTTTCCTTCTCCAGGACCAAAGTAAGCCCATCCCAGGACAGAAACAACTTGGCCACATTTGAGTTGTCTGCACGCAACACTGGCACTTTTCAGATCAAAGGAATCATCACAGACTGTCCCCCACTCGCTGTTGTGGTAAACTTCAACCCTTCCAGCACATCTGTCCTCGCCAGATGCCAGTCGCAATTGTGGCGCATCTTCTAAAAGCAAAGCAAAAATGAGCAAGTAAGCATATCAGTTTGTTTATTCCAGGATATGTAAACTTCTAACGTCTAAGTCCACATCCCCATCTGCTCAGGGGTGGGCTGTGAGGTGCTTCTGTGTCTCCAGTTGCTGGGGCTGACTGGGAAATGCCTGCAGCGCACAAAGCAGTGGACTTAAATCAGTGCTGTTGATTCAGCCCAGTTCACTTGGCTCTGCTTGTTCTATCATTAAAGGGCCATGCTGGTAAGATAACCAGCTCACACAGAGGTGATCCATTAACCCCAACAGGGATGCCCAGAGTGCTCACTCTCAGGTCTCACCCTCTCACCTTTGGGTTTAAATGTCTTCTTAAGCCATTCTGAGAATTTGGCCCATGGTGAGGCTGAACCTTCACTGTCTTCTGTTGACTGCCACCAGAAACCATTTGCTGTATAGGATTAATAGATATATTAGCATTGATGTAACACAGTTCTAGATAAGTTTTATGGTTTTCTGTGCTGACACAGAGTTTGATAGAGTATTTACTGGCATGTGACAAATTTTCAACGCAAAAACAATCCTCTCTGTGCCTGGAAGCTCATTCTCTCATAATTCAGTGGAAGATGATTGTAGAAGACCTTATTTCATGGCAGCACAAGTAAAGTGACCCAACCCCACAAGCCCTCATGTACATCCTTCAGTGGATGGAGACATGGGCTTCTAAGAGCTGAGCTCTGCCAGAATTTGCTAGGGCAGTAGAGAAGTTACTTATCTTTGCCACGTTATTACCACAAAAGCAGAGGAGGCTGTGGATCATTTGTCTGTGCAGACTGTGGCAGTTGTTTTGGCCAACAGCCCATCATGTTAGCCTCAACTGTTCTCTTTGCAAATGCCTGCTCAGGTCTTCCTGGGGAGCCCAGACTTTGCCTAATTCTGCAGTGTGGAATATAATATATACTTGCTTAAAGGATTTAAAAATGTAGGTTTGACTAAACCGAACAGTGGCATTACATATCTGTAGAGCAGCTCTTCCAGTCTAGTTCTGTCAAGTTTAGGGAATGACAGACCTCTGTAAACTCATAGGCAATCCTTTGCTTCCTCTTATGCAGAGAAATTGCAAAGAGTAAGCAGTGATCTTTCTCTCTTTATTCCCATAAAGAAGCAAGAAGGCTCTTTCAAAATTAGCAAGCTCTGAAGATCCATGCCTGATTCAGTCAAGAAATTCAGGAGAAATTTCTTTTAGAGACTGTTTTTTTTCTTTTTTCCCAAGCTAGCATTTGCTCTTCAGACACTTTTACTCCTGGAAATATATCAGTGATCCTAAATTTGGGAGTTTATAAGACAAAAGCCAAAGTGATTTTTCCATTCTAAATTAATCCAGCCTACATCAGGTCAAACTGAAGACAAAAGCAAACTTACTGACGAGAGATTACAGTGCTGGGATTTTACCACCTTGAAAGGCAGCTTAGTGTCCTTTGGTGCTGAGTTCACCTCTGGCTTGCCTTTGCTCTTGCTTTATAAATAATTCAATATAGCCAACCCTTGAATCTATGTTCTATGAAATTATTTCTCCTCTGGCTGATGAGCCTTTGCTCATGGTGCCCATGAATAAAGATCAAAGTATGTCATTCAAACCAGTGAGATTATAAGGGAGGTTTGGGGTTACTTTTCTGAAGACTGATGAACAATGGCACTTCTGCAGTCCCAAGTCTCTGCAAACTAGATTTCCACCCATGTCAGTCAGGCTGCTTTTTTATTCTTTTAATGTCTTTTTCTACATTTTTAAATGTACCATGTAGAAGAATTTAAATTCAAAATTAGAGTATTAGAAAAAGAACGTTAGAAGGAAGAAGGAAAGTGCCTTCTTCAAACTATTCCCCTAACAGAAGAGAAACAACAAAAATATTCTTCAGCTTTAGAATCTAACCTGTGAATTTGATCTGAATATTTGAATTACAAGACAAATATTTGAATAAGAAGACAAATTAAACCAACAATTCCATCATACAGAGCTTGCCAGCAATATGTTAGAAGACTCTGCCACCACTTTCCAGCAGGCCAGGCTGTAATAGTAATGAATTCTGTCTGTAACGTTTCCATACAAGCATGAAAAAATGTACTCACTGTACCTGGTTCATATAGGAGAGAAGTACTTAGCAGAAGCATCCAAGTGAGGCTCACTTGAAGGTCCATTTTCATTGTGGTTATCTGTTCTCAATCTGTGAAGATTGAGAATTTATACTAAATGAGTTCTGGTCTCCACCAGAGGTGTGTGCTTTGCAATTTGATCTCTCTTCCTGAAATTCCAGATCCATGCCAAAGAAATGATTTACCAAGTATTTTCATTTTACAGGGTATATCCAGACATCCGGATGAGTAGATCCCGATCACACCACTGTTCCGGGCTGCCTACTGAGATCTTCCCAAACACTCCCCTGGCACTTCAGTAGCTTTGCATTGGTGTGGGTTGGTTTTTCTTTTTTTCCAGGAAGCAAAAATTTACGTTTGGAGATTAGGCAGTTAAGTAAGGTTTTTCGTACCATCAGTTTAAGACAGTTTTCCAATGTATAATTGTGCAAAGTCTCAAGCAAATTATCTCTGCTCACTAGACATTATTCCTACAAAAAGGAATTTCTATACTTTTTCATATTTCTCCATCTCCTGTTCAACCTGGAAGCAGATCCCTCCATCATTCTCCTGATCTGCAGTCAGTTCTTTTCTCACTTGCAGCCTACAGAGCAATGAAACAGCTGTATGAATTAGCAACCAAGGTATAATTGAGTGGGAAGAACTCTCTTGGGGGTAAATTAGCAGGGCAAGTGCTGAACTACAACAGCCAAAGAAATGGAGTAGGATAGGGCCAGAAAATTAAGCTAAAACTCAAAGAATCTGTAGGTGAAGTCAGAGTGGCATGACCAACTGCCACGCACTGCTCTGGGGAAGACCAGGAGAGTCTACTGACAACTTACTCCCCATTCTCCATCTACCAGTTTCACAGCTGGTGTGTTCCTGAGCAAACTAGTCTGAAATTTTCCCCTTCAGAGGACAAGTACACATGCTATCTGACAGTCCTGTGTGGTATATCCTTCATAACTATGGAAGTGGAGCCTTTGCGAAATATGAGGCATGCTTTTGGATCTGTGAGATACTGCACAAAAGAATTGAGGCACAGAGCAACTGTCAGCTGAAGGGGAGAAACTAGTAACAGGCTTTTATTCTGCTGGTAGTGGATAGCAGATCATAGGAGGAGGGGCAGAAGATACGATAGTGCTAGTGGAAATCCAAATTAAAGGACTAAGAGAAAACATGAAAGAAAATCATTGTGAAGAAGAAAAATACCACAAATTGTGCTGGAGGTTATTATTTGCCATTAGCTTTCAAGCTATCTTTTTAGATAAGGTGCTCTGCATGAAAAAATCCCACCTAGAAGGGCCATGATGTACAACTGGACAAGATTTGCATCTCATGAAGCCATGGATCCACCACGACCCCTTCAGCCACAGATTTCTCCCTGGCACGAGGTGATGGTGACAACACACTGTGGCCCAAAGGATGCCTCCAGCTCTGCCTCATTAAGCACTAGCAGGGAGAAGCTGGCTTTCAGCTAAAGAGAAGGAAAAAGCAAAACTAAGTGTTCTTAGCAGATGTCAAAATGAACATCAATTCATTTGTTCCATGAGATCTTTTCTTATTTTCTCAACACACTATTACATATTGTGCCTATCCAAACATCCATGTTCTTACATCCTAATACCTTCTTGAGCAAAACCAGTCATGTCAAATGTTTGAACTCCCAGTTCCGTGTGTATGGATTACTTGAACTCTGTTGCCATTTCCTGAAGTGACTAAATGGGTTTATAGTAGATCCTTATCAGTATTTCTATCCAAACAGCTGTAAGCTGGGTCTGGTACAGTATGTAACAGTTTTCTTTCCTAACAGCAATTAAGCTGTTTTATACAAACATGTCTCACTTTTGAATGGAAATAAATTTTGGAAACAAATAGAAGGAACCTCACGGCTCTCTTTTTCAGCATCCCTCAACCTCCTTCACAAAACAGATTGCAAAGAAGCCATTGGTCCCAGCAGACATGCTTAGGGCTGAGGGCTCCACATCCCCACTCGTGCCTGGTGAAACTGGATCCCACTGCAGGCTGTTTTGTACCTTATCTGAGGAGCAGTGGTGGTAGGTATAGATGTGAGCAAGGGCAGCAGATCTGTACAGCTAATCCGCAGTGTTTGGTGAGAAAGAGTGACCAGCCTCCACGTCAAACATTGCAGCTCTTGTCACGGACATCGAAGGCACCGTTAAAAAGGAGGTGCTGAGTCTTCAGTCCAAAGCTAAGCAAGCAAACTAATCCTGCATGGCAGGAAATAGCAGTGATGACAGTAGGGCTGACCTTTGTGGTCTTGGAATCGCAATGCTGTTTCCCTGGAAATCTTCTTAAAGGAATCTATCAAAATTCAGTCCGAAAACAAAGAGTGTTTGTCCATAGTGAAAGAGCTTCACGCTGGATGTTGAGCTCTCCTCGCAGAGTGCTGGAGCTTTGCTGCACCTACTCCTCCCTGCGAAGCCTTTTCCAGCTTTTTCAAACTACATCCAATTCTCATGGAAACCTGTAGTGTTACACACTCCATAAAGACGGAGCTTGAGGGGCTGTGAGCAATCAGAAAATGCAGAGCTACTGCTGTGAGGCTGCTACCGCTGGAGGGCAGCGAGGCACCGTCCTTAAGGAGTGAATGTGTTGTGGGATAACGTGTCCTAACCACACAGATCTTCTGTAGGGTCCCTAGAGGCCTTAACATAGCAAATACCATTACGAGTAAGCAGAGGGCAAAATAAATGATGCATGAGACAGCTACAGACTGCAGGTAGGTTGTTTGTATTCCTTGTCCAACAAAGTCAGAGGGCATTTTGGAGAATCTGAGGCATTCTGAGGCAGCACCTGTTTCATCTTCCCTTCCAGCTCCTTATTCGTTGTATCTTAGTGGTGTTGTAAACCACAACGCTCTCATAATTAATATTTGTAAGGAATTTAATTGAGATGTCTGTGACAGATTAACAAGCACTGTCTGCGTTTCTCCTAGCCATGTGTTTCTTGTACAAATATTTAATTGCATTTCTTCTTCCCTGATAAAGAAAACCCTGTTGTGTGAACCTGCGGTACGATGCACGGGTCTGCTTTTGTTCTGGGTCATGTCAATACATTTTTGAGTCATTGCAGATAACTCACAAATTAACAGCAGTGAAACGGGAAGAATTTACTGAAATGCCACACAATATTGCCACTTGGATGCTGCCATAGGAATTGCCATGTGCTGGTCCTTGACTTCAGAAGCCCAGGGTTGTGGCTGCTGTGTAAGCAAGGTTGGTGCTGCTCCTAGCTGAAGGTGAAAACATGTAGCAGATAAGCGGGCAGAACTTGTCTGTGTCTTGCTCCATATTACTCTGTGGAAAGACGTAAGATTTTCAATTCTTGCATTATTCACATTTCCTCTCTGCCAACCATTCTGCTAAATTCAACTCCAGCAAGTTCTGAAGTGCATTCTGTGCACTCAGGAATGTCTAGAGAAAATGGCAAAGCCAGGTTGAAATGAATCACATCGCTGACAATGCCACCTTCCAGTGGGTTCTCCACAATTATGTCAAATTTCTTCATAAAGCAAAGTGGGACTTTTACATGGGAAGCCCTCTTTTGTAGACAAAACTGAGTACTGAGTGCTGGGTACTGCTTCCAGTTCCCAGAGATGTTGTGTTGAAAGAAAGGTCTTCTCTTTTCTTTTGGGTGGAAAGAAAGGTCTCTTTCCAGAGACCACTTCCATCTGGTCTCTGGAAGCCCCCCATCAACCCCTGTGAATCCTGTGAGAGAAAACCTTTGTCAGAGATGGAGGCTGTGCCAATGTAAATGGGTACCAATGGTCTTGGCTCTGCATGCAGAACTACAGGTCATTTAATCCTGTAACCCAGATAATTTAATTGGCTAGCGCTCTTTGTCAACATGGCTTACTTATCTTGGCATGTGCCACATTCTTGCTGTTTTTCCTTCTTTTGATGTTTACATGGTAAACTTTATTAGTAATAATATAAAGTTTTCCCAAACACTCCCCTGACAGTTTTCTCAATATCTTTCTCAGCTTCAAAGAAAATCCCTTCTAATTCAGCAAGTGCCATCTTTAGGAATCACACAGAGTATCACCTATGGAGGTGTAACATCCCTTTGGAGGATCTTGGAGGTCTTTTTCTTTGCTTTATTAGTTGCTAATTAAAGATAATGAAACAAACAATTAAAAAAATAAGAAAGATCATTAATAAATAGAAAAAAATAATGATCAAGCTAACTACATTGATTAATTAGGAAAGTTTTCCTTCCTCACTGAGTGTCTGGGATATGAAAGGAAAAATCACACACACAGCAGGAATATAGATTGTTTTTGTCTGTAAACTGATTGCTTTTTTATTTTTTTCCACAGTGCAACCTTGCACATGTAAAGCCACCCTAACAAAGTTAAAGTAGGTATAGAACCTATTAAGGGATCAACAAGCAATGCTTCAGTGGGACATCTTGGAGTGCCACCTTCTCCTGCCCCACATGCCCTCAGGAGCTGTGTTGGGTGAGAGGTTGGCAAGGGATGGCTCTCCTTTCCACAAACACTGTGTGGAAAAGCAGATATCCTGTTTAACTGTGACATTTTGGACAAATAATGCAGTCAGAGTCTCGGTATGGAGGAAAAAAGGATGAGCAGTAAGCAGCGTCATGCAGTGAAAGAGTTTATTGCTTATTTATGATGACTTAGAATCACATAATTTGTTTGCCTCATGTATGTAAGAGAAATAATTCTGACTGTCCTAAATCCAAATGCTGATTCCATTTGTGAAAACGTTTCTACTGGATCAATTTTTTATCAGATTCAGTTTCAGTTGATTTGAATATGTGAACATTTACAAGCATGAGAGAGGATTAAAGCACAAGGACAAAGACGGATTATACAAATATATTTTCTAAAGTCCCACATAAACAGCACCATTAGCAAGTGTAAAAGGTGTATAAGGGTAGGAGCATTCAAACTGGAATTTGAGATTGTTCTGGTTCTATTATGGGTGGGAACTGAACCCTTTTTCTCTCTTCAAATTCAGGAATGAGAGGCACGAATGGAGGATAACATAGGCACTACTTTTTTGATGAGCTTTGCTCTTATTTCTGCTACATGAACTAAAGTTCAAAAACATGAGTCACAAATACTCATCCATGAGAATATCAGATAGGTAAGAGACAAAATCACCGAGATGTTGAGTTCATAACAGATCAAAGTGATTGGAAAGAAGCTGTGCTCATTATTCCTCATTGAGAAATCTGGTTTTCATAGAGACTGCAGATCAGTACAGTGAAAATGCCAGCTGAGATTTCTTGTAAATGCCTCAGCTGTTTACAGCTTAAAGGTAATGCACATCTTTATTTCCTCTGCTTATGCTGCAGGCCCTGTAAGAACAACCAGAAAGAAAAGCAATCAAATGAGCTGGTAAATAGGTATGAGATTCACATTTGTTAACTGCAGGATGAGGAGAAATGGTTTTAAGTTGAGGGAGGGGAGATTTAGGTTGGACATCAGGGGGAAACTCTTTACAGAGAGAGTGGTGAGGTGCTGGAACAGCTGCCCAGAGAGGCTGTGGATGTCCCATCCCTGGAGGTGTTCAAGGCCAGGTTGGATGGGGCCCTGGGCAGCCTGGTCTAGCATTAGGTGGGAAGGTTGGTGGCCCTGCATGTGGCAGGGGGGGTTGGAGATTCATGATCCTTGAGGTCCCTTCCAACCCTGGCAATTCTGTGATTCTATTAGGTATTTAATAGTCCACAGCAGTGGAGAAAGAATGGTTTTGTATCATGGGCTCAGCTCCTAATGATTTTCAGCTATATTTCAAAATCTGTATCAAGGGAGATTCTTGAAAAGAAGAAAACAAAGCAGAACATACCTGAGCATACAACACTGGCATCTTCACTGTGGCCACAGTTATGTCTTGACCAACCACTGTGGGAGCATTCCCATACATAAGCTTCGTTCCCTGTGCACTGCACGTCATCCAGGAAAATAACCCCAGAGCCTTCCCCAAAATGGGCATCTCCTGGTGCTGAGATGGGCTGCCCACAGCCCAGCTGTCTGCAGACAACCCGAGCATCGTCGATATCCCACCGATCATCACAGACTGTTCCCCACTGTCCTTTGTAAAACATTTCCACACGGCCCTCACATCGATTGCCACCATTCTCCAGGCGCAGAGCTACTTCTGTCAAAGACAGAGAGCAGAAATAAAGGTCATGATGAATGTCTGAAAAGTGTGTCCGAGGTTTTCCCTCCTTGCTGTGTGACTTGTTGATTTTCAATCAGTAACAAGTTATGAAATACACACTTTACATTCCTCTTCAAAGTGGCTCCCCAACATCCGAGCTCTCCATAATCACCTACATCTTTTGAAATGTGTTCAAGGCCAGGTTGCATGGGGCCCCAGGCAGCCTAGATCTAGTATTAGATATGGAGATTGGTGGCCCTGCCTGTAGCAGGGGGGTTGGAGATTCATGATCCTTGAGATCTCTTCCAATCCAAGCCATTCTATGAAATGCTGCAGTGTGGAACTTGTCCATACTCCTCAAATCTTTTTCCCCAAGGCTTTGCATCAAACAAAAGCAAACTGTGTTTAACAGTAGATACCCAATTTTTAGAACGATCAGTAGAAGAAATGATAAGACTTACCAGGTGTTCTGGCTCCCCTGGAAGCTGAGGATTGGGAATAAATATGAAAAAACTTAATTTCAGCAGCTTCAGTTGTATTTCAGAAGAAATAATCATCAACAGCAGCAGAACAAACACAAAACAAAACTTTGCTTTACCTGGTAGGAGTCTCTTGTATTGTTTGATTTGTTCTAAAACTAAGTTACATTTTATGTACTTTCTTTAATTAACTTAATCAAGAAAACATTTAACTTGTGTTGAAAAGATAGAGTAACATTTAATTCTTTAGGAATGGTTTCTAAAAATAAATTCTTGTGAGAGTGCCACGTCTGTGAAGCCCAAAATGTGAAGTGTCAACCAAGCCACCAAGTATTTCCTCCTCTGGAATCCTGCATAGAACACAGCATTCCTTCTCTCTGCACTCACATCAGTGTCACTGACTGACCACCAGGAGCATCTTCCAAGCATCCCAGACCAGAAAATACATGGAGGAAAACAGAGAGGCAGCTGACATCTTGATTTCTGCCTCACCATACATCTAATTACTGCTGTAATGTCTTTGTTGCTATTACCCTTGCCTCAGGCTGATGATTAGATTCTCAACTTACACAATGCAGAGTTTTACTTAAATAAATAGAACCACTTGTACCTGAGCAACGCACACCAGCATCTTCTCTGTGCCCACAGTTATGTGTGGCCCATCCTCTGTGAGAGCATTCCCACAGGTAGGATTCATTTCCATGACACTGCACATCATCCAGGAAAATATCCCCTGTCCCTGGATTGAAATGTGCTTTTCCCAGTGCAGAGAGAGCATTTCCACATCCCAGCTGCCTGCAGACGACCTGTGCATCATGTATGTCCCAGAAATCATCACATATGGTCCCCCAGCTTCCCTTATAGAAGATTTCGACGCGCCCTTCGCATCTGTTTCTGCCATTTATCAGCCTCATGGACACCTCTGTGAAAAAGAAGAGAGAAGGAGATAAGAGTCTGAAGGCTCCTGAACTGCAAAGTTAAAATCCTAGATTAGTTCTGGAGCTGATTCAACATGTTCCTATGGCTATTGTATTCTGTCATGGCCTTTCACCCCCAGGGAAGGCGAGGACAGCAGTGGTAAGTGCCAGCTGTCCTTGGGTCACTGTGTTTGCACTCATGTGCTGTTTCCTGGTTCACCCTTGGAACCAAAGCTTGCTGCTAGGGCCTGGCAGAGTTCACAGTTACCTAAACCAGGTTTTCATTCCCAGTTTAATTCCTGTGATGAGATCAATAGCAACGAAAGAAATAACCTGCATCAGATAAACACTAGCGGGGCATTTATTGATCCATTTATTAATGACAGTATATTATAATTAGTAGAACAGAATCAAAGTTTTACCCACGGAAACAGAGTTGACCAAGAGATGAGGTTAATCAAGCCAAAGCAGCACAACGGGGCCATGAACTTCTAATAACTGTATTGTCTCTTCTCCTTGTGTTTTAATATCACGTAAGGGGATCTGAGCTTTATGAAAGCAGGGAATAAAATGGTCTTTTTGTGTGTGCGCGTGCGATGTAGCTCCATCCAACTGATGGAATGTTTAAGATACTGATTAATCCAATACCTTTTTTTTTAGATAACCATGGATTTAAAGCACCCTTGTCCAATGAAGACTTTTTCACACTCCAAAAGTCCAAGTCAGAACGTGATTTGTAGTCAGCAAGAACTTGCTTATGCTTTAGAAAATTCTGGATATAAACTATTGAATAAGTATGAAATTGAAATTACCAGGTATTTCAGTTCCTGTAGAAGCTGCGATGGGAAGAAACAGATAAAACGCACATTTCAGTCATCAGTGTTTCCAAAAGTAATTAATTTTTAAGAGCTTCTTTTAAGAGCTTTTAATGCTTCAACTTTCTTTACAATGTCTGCTTTTATTTCAGAAAGTGTTCAAAGACTGGTTAAATAATCTGTATTTGAAGATAATAAAAATGGTGAGACATGAGATTGTAACGTGACTTTCCCTGCCAGCAACTTGAAAATCTATGGAGATTCGGATAGAACTTTGGAACTTCTTATACCATCTAACAGAGGCAGAAACATTCCAAGGTTAATTTAGGTAAGGATCTAAGGCTGCCAAAAATCTAAGCACATCTTTCTTCAGGGGGATCTAGCAAAGCTCTGGTTCCTTCTCCTTCTTGCTTCCTGCCCTTGGACTGCAAGAGTCATGACTCTACACCTTTGGATTTGGCCCTGATTATCTCACTCAAATAAATAGACTGCAGCACTCAATAGAAGCTTTGTCAAAGAAAGGCGTGTGGGATTAGGACCTTAAGCTTGTGAGAAGTCTCCTATGTGAAAGCTGGTTGGTTCTTTAAGGGCAGAATGTGCCTTGGGATTATTTTCTGGTGCTTCTTGCTAGTCTGGTAGCAAGCAGATCGAACTGGTTAATATGGATTACAGGTGATTAAAATAATGTGGTGGCAGTACAAAAGCTGTGGATGCATTATGAGTGACACTGATTAAAATGCTCTAAAATTTTTTGAAGCTTATCTGGATGGAAGTTTGCAAGAACAAATTTTGATCGTGTAAGAAAAGAAGGGAAATTCTCTTTCCAGCAACAGAACCACAACTCTGCTGAGAAAAAAATTCGAGATCAGGGGAGTGATTTTCAATTTGACAAAATTTGAGATTAAACCCAGTATTTCTCTTCTCAGTAAAGCAAATAGATCAGTGTGTACCTGAGCAAATGACGCTGGCATCGCGCCGGCTGTCACACTCCTCTCTACACCACCCCCTGTGAGAACATTCCCACAGGTAGTTCTCATTCCCTCTGCACTGCACATCATCCATGACAATATATCTTGGGCTGTGAGGAAAGGTGACATTTCCTGAAGTTGATACAGCATGTCCACAAGCCTGCTGGTTACAGACAACGTCTGCATCATTTATATCCCAGGAATCATCACAAATGGTCCCCCAGGCTCCTTTGTAAAGGATTTCAACACGCCCTTCACACTGGTTCCATCCATTCACCAACCTCACTGACATGTCTTTGAAAGAAAAAAGAGAGTTTCACTGAACCTTCATTGTAAGACAAAGTCAGAGGCTCTTGTGGGTCAGAAAGGACTTCCAGACATCCCTGGTGTAGCCCCAGAGCAGGCTGTTCTGGATCCTGTTTAGGAGAGTGTGGAGTATCTCCAAGGATGGAGATCCCCCTGCTTCTCTTGGTCTCTGTTCTACTGTTTGACCATGTCATGGAAAAGAAATAATTCTTTCTTATCAGGGTGGGATTTCTCCAATTCTGACATGCATCAGTTGTTGCCTCTTGAGCTATTGCTGTGCACCATCTTCTCTATAATCTCAGGTTATTGTAGACAGCAACAAAATCTCCCCTTCGTAATCTCAAGACTGAGCAAACCCTATTCCCTCAGCAACTCCTTGCACATCTCATTCTCCTACCCCCTGATCCTTAATGACTCTTTGCTGGGCTTGCTTACAGTTGAACTAGATGATCTTAGCAGCCTTTTCCAACCTTAATGATTCTATGGTTTTACAGTTCTATACTCCAGGATGCCCCTGCCTCTCTTGTACAGGGAAGCTGCACTCCTGCACTGGACCTGAGGCTACAGGTGTGTCTCACCAGTGCTGAGTACATGGTAAGGACTGCCTCCCTTGACCTGCTGGCAGCACTCAAAGGGCACAGTGCTGGCTCACAGTCAACTTCTTGTCCTCCAGGAAGCCCAGATCCTTTCTTGCAAAGCTGTGGTTGACACAGCTGGCTCTCTGCCTGCAAGCTGCACTCCATAACCTTAGCTGACATGTAATGTCAAAGCTATTTTTTTGCTAAAGGGGAATTAAGGTGGTACACTCTAGATAGACAGATTTCCATGCCATGCTCATTTCACTAGTTAGGTGTGCATGCACATTTCCAACCTACCTAGAAACTCCTGCTTTTCAGAGTCCCTGGGACAAGGCCATGCTCCTTAAGCCACTATACCCGAAGATAGTGACGTTCCTGAATAGCTCAAGCTCTGCAACACAGCATCCACAGTACTGATGATCTGAACAAACTTTAGGTGTGAACTTTCATGTAACTCTGTATATACAAAGCCAAGCCTCGTTTGTCCAGACTTAACATTTTGATGGATATAAATGAGATGAGTTCTTCACTTTATTCTGTGCTTAACACTAACAGAAGAAGAAAGCAGAGCACCTGTTTGTTACATGGCTAAAGGGGTCTGTTATTTTAAAGAGAGGTCCCATCTAACAGGCAGAGAGCAACGTCCTGGCTTCTCAATTAAAATCTATCATTGTTTTTAGCTGTACAAATCCAATTCTAAAACATGTGGACATTAAAGAGAATGACACGCATTTAAGACACTTACCTGTCACTTCAGATCCTGTGGAAGCTGCAAAAGAGAAAAAAATCATGGCTCATTTGTAGGCAGTTTTCAGTCATTGCAGTAGCAGCTGAATCTACTGGTGAAGTGTCACATTGCACATTATGCTGAGGATAGTGCTGAATGAGTGCTATACAGAATAATTCTCTTTGTGTGGGGACTGTTACACAGGTCTACAACAGAAGCTAGATCTGTTCTGAAATATGAGTAGTACTAATTTTTTGTAGGCCTGTTTCTAGCATGCATTTCAGTGCAGTCTGTGCTGCAGTATTACTATTAACTAGTACAGGATGAGAGCAGATTGCTGCAGAGTTCAGCTGATGGGTGTCCAAACAGGCTGTTACTCACTGTGACAATGAGGACCACTGTTTGTTCCACCTCCAACACAATGACACCTTTGTGTTAAAGTCTGCAGGGACAAGCTGTGCCAGGTGCCACCAGCACCAGGCTGGACCTGTCCTCTGTGCCTGCTCTGGCACTTCTCCATGGGATGGCTCTGTTTGCTGACCTTCTGTTTACACATTACCCAACACTGATGGAACATCCAGGTCCCAGAAGGAGCAGGACATACCGGCGGATGGACAGAAGCAGTTGGTAAATGGTTGTGCTCCACCTAGTAGCTCTCTTGGACTGTTATCCTGTTTGCATCGAAAGACCTAACCTAGACTGACATATCTATGGAGTGTACAATTTTTCAACTTATTTACAGATTTTTTGTAGTTAATTTCTGTAGAAATCACTAATATGCACTGCTGAATAATAAGAAAAAGCAAGTATTAAACAGAACCAACGCTATAAGTGAAAAAAATTGCTTCAAACATGAAGGTTCTGCCTTGTTTTTTGGGGGGAAGCAGTCTTGGTGAGGAGCACGGTGGCCAGGACAGGGCTGTCCCTCGTGCTCTGACTGGCCACGGCATGGAGCATATAAATACATAAAACACACCTGAGCAAACAACACCAGCATCTTCCACGTGTGCACAGTTATGGACTGACCACCCTCTGCTGGGGCACTCCCAGAGGTAGGCCTCGTTGCCTTTGCACTGCACGTCGTCAAGGAGGATCTCTCCTGAGCCTTGGCTAAAATTGGCATTTCCTAGGGCAGAAACAGCCCTGCCACAGCCCAGCTGGCTGCACACCACCTGGGCATCCTGCAGGTCCCAGGAGTCATCGCAGACAGTGCCCCAGTTGCCCTGGTAATGGACTTCGACACGGCCCTCGCATCGGTTCCTCCCATTCACCAGCCTCAGGGACACGTCTTTGGAAAGGCCAAAAGTGAGAGAGTTATTTAGGTTTTAAGTAGGCTGTTACACATTTGAGACAATAGTAAGTCCTATCCAAACATAGCAGATGATTGGCCAAAAATATTTCTCAACTTTTTTTTTTTTTTTTTTGAGTGAAAAATTGTGGAATTTAACTGATACAAACACACTGAAAACTAGAAGATACAGCATATTCCTAACACAAGAGGTTGTGATTAATACATGATATGGTTAAAAACTTGTGGGAATGCATATTCAGAAATGTTCAATAGAAATACATCAAAATCATACCACGACAAAGGTATTGGGAAATACTCTTCTTCATAAACTGTATATACTGAATGACTGCACTAGGTAAAATGACTTAGTAAACTGGATGAAGGTATATGAGATGAAAATTACCAGGAATTTCAGACATCAAGGAACCTGAAATAAAAGAAAGAGCAGAGTGAGAAAGATAACTTGCACTCAACAAAGTGAGCAGAAAAGATCACTCTTTACTCTGCCATAAAAGACAGCACAAAACCAACTATCCACACATTAGGATTTTGTCTATATAAACCAATCTATACTTTAAAATGTACGGTGCCATATATTTTCCATCAAATAATATGTCTCATGAAGGACCCAATTTCACACTGCATGTGGAAATCATTGGTTATTTTCTCAATGATCTTAGGAATAATCAGCTGAATTCATGCTTTAGTTAGGAAGCAATGGAAATGGCCAGATGGACAAATCTCAGAATGGCATTACTCTACAGAAAGAAGGAAACATAACTGTCTGCCTGAGCTAATTATGTGAAGATTTTGAATGTGAAAGGTAATGGGTGGTTATACTGCTCTCTTAAGAAGTATTTGCTGAAATGCAGAGGAATAGTTTGGGGATGTCCTGTATAGCTTGGTGATGGTTTGGTAGTTCAGCTGCCATTTGTTGAGCACCCGGACCTCATTCTGGCTTGTACTTATAACTATTATTGATCACTGATGCCAATAAATCTCCAGTTACCTGCACAGATGACACCAGCATCTTCCTGATGAAGGCAGTTGGTGGTGAGCCATCCATCATGGGAGCACTGCCAGAGGAGAGCCTCGTTCCCTTGGCACTGCACTTCATCCAGCAGGATGTCTCCTGTGCCCTCACCAAACTGGGCTGCCCCTACAGCACCAGTGGCCCGGCCACATCCGAGCTGAGCACAGACCACGTTGGCATCGTCCATGTCCCAGGAGTCATCGCAAACTGTTCCCCATGCTCCATTGTAAAATAATTCAACGCGGCCCTGGCATCTGTTCTGCCCATTCACTAGCCTCAGGCTCGGTTCTTTGGAAGACAAAAAGAAATTAGATCAACTGTTAGAGTGACTGCCATGTCTATAGGACCATGAGGCAACCAGAGGAAATGCTCTACCGCAGCTTTCCAAGGAGCGTGTCCTCAAGGAAAGAGTGCTCTATTCTCTTCTGCTCACCAGTCTTGAGTTCCTGAGATTGCAGACCTGATTTTAAAGCATCATCCAAAGATGAGGCATCTGAGTGCCTCTGTGGCAGTCACATTCAATTAGTTATATTGACACAAAGACATCATCATCTGGTGGGGACTCCAGCATAGCATATTGTGTTTCTCCTGGCCACCGGTGAATTAAACAGGGAAGCCAACACTCAGAATGTAATAGCAGAAGGTCACTGCCTACAGTATTTCACTTTTCACCTTACTGTAAGGAACAGATCTGCCAACTCTGATGTGTCCAAAGCAATAATTTTGACCCAGGCTGTGTCAAACCTGCCACCTGTGTGCAGCTCACCATGCACTTACCAAAGCTCGTAACCTGCTTGCTGTATCTTTCTTCAATTCATTATACTTTGTCTAAGCCCTTTCAGTGCAATGAAAAAAAATTTATTTGTCGTATGCATTTTTTTCAACAGCAATTAAAATACAACACAATATATACTTTTTACATTGCATTAAATACACACCCAAGATAGTTGAATGGTATCACCAGCCTGTCAGTCCTACTAACTCTCAAGATATCTACCAGTTAGAGTGGGCTTTGCTACAAGCTACAATATGTGCAATATTGATTTTAGAGGAAAACAAGAGAGAGAGGTAGGGTAGAACAGCATTAGGCACAGTACCTGACCCCTGGAGATGCCCTCCAAGCAGCAGTAATATGCACACGATGGCCAGTGTGCAACCCATTTTGTCTGGGATCCCCACGGTGCTGATAAAACCTGGTTCAGAATTTATAAGCATGAAGATCTAAAGGGGTGTGTTCTGCAGCTTGACCAGCCTGATTTTATTAAAGTAAATTAGTGCTTTCGTACAACGGGGATACTTTAAACTTTTAAAAACATTCTCTTGATTTTTTTTGGCAGGACTTTGTTTATAGTAGCTTAATTTTTCGATCACCTTATCATTTCAATCCCTTCTCTTCTCTGCATATACTGGCTAAACCCTCCCCTTCACAGACCCAATGGCTGAAGAGGAACCAGCTGTGTGCAGCCAGGGAGAAAATCAGTGAAACCAAGCAAAAAGTGCTGGCAGATTTTCTTCACGTCTCCATTTTTCCCTTGTCCCAAAGTGGAGACAGGTGGCTGCTGTGTTCCCATCCTCTCACATCTACACCAGATCCACAGCTCTGTGGCTCTGCTCAGAGCACCAATGGAGACTGTGCCCTCCATGCTCCTACAGCCAGCATCACTGCAGCAGTGAGCTGCATTATCTGCTGGAAAAAATAGGATTTCTTTTAAAATGCAGTCGGTCATCCCTTCAGACTGTATTTTAGTAGTTACTGGGCATTTTAGCTATTGATTTTCATTTTGCTCTGTTAGCATCCTGCTAGCCTTCATCCTACCCAGCCTTTGGGAAGCACTTCATGTGATTCCTGGATTAAACCCTTCGGGCCTGGCAGAGAGAAGAGCACCTGTCTTCCTCCACATCACATTCCTTACAGACATCCAACAAAATCTTACGAAACAAAGAAGGCTTGTTCCACACGGCACACAGTGAGTGTTTACCTGAGACACACTGGGGCAACTTCCAAAAACACGCTTTCTAGGCTGCCCAGGAGCTCAAAGAGAAAGGGAGCAGCAGATTTGGCTGTCCTCCTGCATCTGGGGCTTCACAGTCAGATGTCTGAGCCTGTGGCAAGCAACAAGCAGAAGTGACAAGGGAGATATGGAATAACAAGATCTTGACAGGTATTAGAAAGTTATCTGCAGTGCTTTCAAGCATGGAGAACGGGGTAAAAGCAAGGAAGGAAAATGTCATATGGGACATCTTCTAAAAATATAGGGACTGATACAGAGACCCCAACCTGATACATGGGCTTACGTGCAGCCTCTCTAAGGCTACCAGGCAGCACTCACCTGACTGCAGCTGTTTAAAAATATATATATTTTATCTGCTCTGATTAGTTACTCACACATCTACATAAAACTCCCTTACACTTGGCAAGTTTGCATGAGTACATCTGAGGACAACACAGCCAGAGGACATCACTGGGGGAGTCTGCTGCAGCCACCCAGCCATGGTGACAGCACCAAAGAACTATTCTTTGAGGAACAAAGGGATACCTCTGGATCAGCCACCCTTGTCCTTGCTGGTGACCACAACTTGCCAGAGGTTAACAGGAATTAGCACACAGCTGTTACAAACAGGTCCAGGAGATTCCTAAAATTCCTTGATGATAAGTTCTTGGTACAGATACTAAGGGAGCTAACTAGGAAAGTTGTCCCCCTGGATCTGTGGTTTGTAAACAGAAAGGTTCTTATTGGAGAAGTAACAACTTGTGGCTATCTTACCACCGTGACCAAGAAGTAGTTGAGTTTAAATTTTGCTGTGTAAGATGGGGGTTGAGGAAAGACTTTGCCCTAGAGGGAGGTGGGCATGGAACAGCTGCCCAGGGCAGGGGGCACTGAGACACCACTGTCAAATATAGGGTTTGGGTGGTCCTGTGTGGAGCCAGGGGTTGAGCTGAATGCTCATTGTAGATCCCTTTCTACTTGGGATATTCTCTGATTCTACAATCCCAGCCCTCATAAAGAAAGAGAAGGAATGGAGAAGCCCTCTCTCCAAGGACACAATTTCTGAAAAATGAAAGAATAAACAAGAGAAAGAAGACAACAGTTGTTCAAACTTCAGAACAGTGGCAATGCAATTCATTTCTACTTTACAGCTTGTGACTAATTCACTTCTTTGAGAAAGAACAAGGAAAAAGCTGTTTGGATGGGTACAAAGTGGTTCAGGGCAAAAGAGGTGATCCAAGTGTTATTCCAAAAAATGAAAACAGATGTCACTCCTAGTGACCTAGCTGGGCTTCCTCAGCTTAGCATGATTTTGTAAAAATATGTTTTTCATGTCATAGTTCTTGAGCCTGAAATAGGAAGTCTCCCAAAATACACAAACTGCTGTGAGAATTTCAGTGCTGCCTGGGTTTCTTTTCAGCTAGATATAAACTGCCCAAATAAATAAAAGTAAAAGCAATTTTTTATTGAAATAAAGAAAGAATAAATCAAGAAAACTGGCTATCCCTGTAACAGAAGATATTTGACAGAAATTGTGCAAAAATTCGTGTTTGGATTCAGAGATGCTCAACAGCAAAAGGCTGCAATTCTTATTCTGAACTCACCACAGAAAGGGCAGCAGTGGGAGTCTAAAGAAATACATTTGCTGTTTTCTCTGAGTTTTTGAAGTGTGGTGTGCGACTGAGAAACCCAGCAGCAGTGGCTGTCTGCTTGACCTTCAGCCCAGGGCAAATTCTAGTAAAACCCTGTTTAAAAAAGCTCTGTTGGTGTCTGCTAGAGTTGTTTCAGTCAGTCAGTCATGTGGAAACGATCGCTGCAGTATATTCATTTAATTATTTAATTGGAATTTAGTGTAAGTGTTCCATCTGGGGTATTAAAAGATACCTGAGTTGGAACCACGAGATAAAGGTTAATTGCTTATTTCAGGCTGGTGTCAATGATATCTGTGGGCTTGTGTGGAAAGGCATGGGGAGAAAGTAATTAAGAACAAGAAAACTGTGGTTCTCACCCGTATCCTGCAAAAGCAAACTAGCTCTCTTAAATCTCAATCTACAGAACTTGGGGATTTGTTACTAACAACTGGAAAATGGTTCTGTTTGTTAGGTATGGGATCCAGAAACAAAACAACATTTATTTATACCCTTTTATAAATATTTTCATAATACGTTCCTGGGAAGAAGGCCTACAGAGTCATACTATCTGCTCCATGCTCCAAAATTAGAATAGAAAGATAAACAGGAGAGCAAAGTACGGGAAATTTAGCATACAAACAAGCAAACAAGAGTTTTGTTCCTGGGCTTTGCTTTAACTCCACGACTGGTCACATAGGTTCCATGATTGCACTGGGAAAATCACAGTGGCAGGAACCCAGATGGCTATGGCTCCATCCTCTCTCCATGAAACACCACCAAATACCACCTTGGGGGTTGTTATGTGCTTATCAGGTCTACATGCACTTCTAGTGACATGGGAAGTACCTACATGGTGTAATTTGTTATCTTCTCCCAGCTCAGATCACACTGCAGAGGTTGACACTCATATTTCAGCACAGTGCTGCAAAAATATTTAGCTGGTGCTGAGGTTGTTGGTTGAGTGAATGAGAACAGACTGCATGGTTAAATACATGCCACTGAGTTTCAAACACAAGGAAAAAATAATAATACCGAAGTCAGACAGTTATTCAGAGCAAAAGCCTGTCAAATGATGGTTGGTTGGTCTTCTCTGAAGGAGGAGCAAACTGCCATCTCCAGGGAGCTCATCTGAACAAAGGCAACGCCGGATTGTGGTGGCACTGACCCACACAAAGCAGACAACCAACACCCCCAAAGAGGTCAAATAAACAGTTTTAGTTTGCATTTTGTTTTTTTAATTCCTTGTATTTTCAACTAAGACATAAAAGGCAAAAATCCCAAACCTTGCTTTTCATGTTTTCATGCGCCAGTGGTAAATGCTTATGTAGAATTTGGCTGTTTCAGCATGTTTCAGTCTGATTTATGAATGCGTGCTACACACTCAGAAGGGCTGGGTAAGTCCAGAGAAGTCACACTCCTCACAAACACGTGGAGAAAGAAAAGAAGTTAAATGTTTTTGTTGTTTGGTTGGCATCCAAAAGTATTACAAAAATGAACAAGGTTATTTCTTCTGGAAAGCATGTGTGAGATTTCTTTTGATGTTGAAATGACATTTTGGTGAGACCTTAAAAGACCTCTGATTGAAGTTCAATCTCTTGTATGAGATTTACAGTTTTGCTTGGTTTAGGCTGTATCAAAAAGCCACTGAGTCAGTGGGAAGGCTTCCAATCGATTTGACAAGATTTTAGATCAGATTGTGCAGTTCAAAGGTTGCAAACAAAACACCTTTAATAGCTCAGTGTTTTTTAATTTGGATTTCTTTGATGCAGATAATAGAAAATGGAATGGAAAAGCATCAACAAAATGCAACTAAAGAGAAAAGTGAGAGAATTTATCCTCATGGCCAAGAAAGAGAGGTCAAGAACTAACGGGCTTGAACAGCAAGAGTGAAAATTGAGAGGAAGCATTTTGAAAAGCTTTTCCACAGTGATGTCAGTTTGAAGTATGAGCCTTGTTTAGCAAGAGGAGAGATTGCCTAGGCCAAATGGAGGTTTTGGAAGATTTGGGCAAAATCAGTCAGGAAGATTTTGGGGTGGTGATGATGACGGTAATACTCAGAGACTAGATCAGCCATCTGCTTTGGAGGGAACATTGGGATGAGGGTACCAACAGGTAATTCCTCTCAAAGCCCTAGAACAACGTGGGTCATGTAGTGTTTGTGTGTGACAATCAGGAGAAAGTAATGGAAAACCTAAAGAGGGCATTTCCACATCAGGCATCACCAACCTACTCTCTGGCTTCCTAAGGGCAGAAATTATCTGTAAACTTGCATGTTCTTGGCAAGTTTTCATCCAACAGACCACACTCCTCAACACAACAAATTATTCATTTGTATTTTAATCACACGAATATTAATTTGAAACCAAGAGTGAATTATTCCTTTGTAAACATTCCTTCCTTTGATTTTAGGTGACGCTCCTTGTGCAACAGATTTCAGCTTAAAAATCTCTGCATTTTATAAATAAGCACAGATCTATTATTGTATAAGCGAAATTTTCAGCGTTAAAAACAATGCTTCAAACAATTAGAACAGGGTACAGCTACAACACCAAATGGCATATTTCTTCTCCCAGAACTAAATCTTCCTCTCTTTTAATAAACTTTGAAATATTTATTACTGCCTCATTCATATTTTTTTCTCCAGCTGACATTATTTTAAGGTATCTGATGAATGTTCTTGGGAGAATGTGAGGAGATAATGTGAGGAGGTAATTAAAGAGGAGAAAAATGATAAAATGACTGCACCAAGCACATTGTGCAAAGATTGTTGAAATTATTCTTAAATCATTTAAGAGGAGTTAGGATTACAAAGTTGTTTTGGAGCTTGCAACAGGCTAGGGTTCACTCCATCTTGACTTGTTACAAATGGCACATGTGTGATTGCTGTCAGTGAAGCATTTTGGTGGCTCACAGTATGAGATTGTCTCGTAATTGGCCTTTGTTTCACATTATCCTCTGTAAAAGTGGTTTCTTCATTGCAGGCCTCAGAAGAAAGCCGGCAAGAACGAAGACAACGATGGCCAGGATGGCAACAGCAGCAGTGAGAGGCCCGAGCACGTTACCCGCAATGGGAACCGTGTTGGGAGGAGGCACGGAAACATCCAGTCCTGTGAGGGAAGAGAGGAGCATTTGGTGCATGTGGTGCCAAGGAGTAGGGCACAAACAGCTGCTGTGCTAAAAGGGATGCTTCCTGGATCACAGCCAGGAGAGAATTTAATTGCCCTTTGAACAGGCGTTTTGGTAGCAAGGATGACAACTAAGCAAGCTTCATGAGCAGAAGACAACTGAAGGAATTAAATATTTCTGAATAAATCTGGGAATGTCTTCTCAGGGAGCAGAGCTGGCAATCAGCTTACACAATCAGATTGGAGCTAATTAGTCCAGTGGAATTATGGCACTACCTTGTGTTACTGTTTTGGGACAGCCAAAGCAGTTATTTTTCATGCATGCAGATGAAAATAATTTGCAAGGTGTTGAAAGAAGAAGGATGTTGTAGACAGGGTTCTATGTACTTAGTATCTGGCAACTCTACCTGCAGCAGAGGGGCTGAAACTTTGTGATCTTCAATGTCCCTTCCAACCCAACCCATTCTATGATTCTACAATTCTGTGATTCTATGATTCTACGATTCTGTGACAACTGAGCCAAACAATCCCTTCTTGTTTACGGTGAAGTTAACATAAGCAGATTTCAAGGACAGATGTCAGAAACAAATAGAGCTATGGCTTTTTTACATGAGCAACTAAGTAGTCTTAAAATAAAAACGAGATAAATTTATTTGACTTTACCAGTATTCCTGCTCTGAGCATCTCCTTCTCGAAGCTTTAGCGGTCCGACAATGACATCTACTTTCTCCTGGGCAGGGCTTGCCTCTCTCTTGGAGCGGCTCAGGCAGCCCTGGTAGCAGCGGGAGGAGTAGTCGCCCAGCCGGCACACCGCCAGCTCGCACCGCAGGAAGACCGACGCGTGGCGGTTGATGAACTCGAAGGCATTAAACTTGAAGCGAGCAAAGTGGCTGTAGGGGGAGTAGTATGAGGTATAGGAAGAATCTCTGACACATCTAGAAAGAAAGAAAGAGAATAAGTCTTTATGGATTTACATGTGCATCCCTTCAAAAATACAGCAAATTAAAAGACAGCCAGGCGCTGAGAACAAAAATAATGCGACTTTTAGACTGTGTCTAAGTATACCTAAGTCCTATGAAGAAGCTAGAGAGGGAAGTATGCCAAGTGGTGAAGAGGGGAGAATGGGCTCCTTGCTCAATGTCAGTTCTATGTGAGGCACAACGAATGGGCCTGACGCTTGACATGGTTCTGCTGGTTTTACTAAAATATGAATGCCTATGACAATAGATTTCTGCTGCCAGTTTTCACCATCTCATCCATCCATCCCACTGCTCACAAGGGCAAAGCCAGCAAAACAAAATATTAGTAAGGTTTAAGTTTCATTACTTAGGCCTTAGGTTGTAAAATTAAAAATAAAAAAATCAGAGAACTCTTTTAACAGTCCATTGATAAGGAGACCCAAACCAGTTCTCACTGTCTCTATTCCTTTAAAATAAATGCAGGAAGGACATTACCACTACATAAAGACTTGCGAAAGCTCTTACCCATCCTTGATTATATCGTAGGCCAGAGTGTTAAAATCATGAGGATCGGGTGATGCCACACATGTGTCCACAAACATCATCAGATTTGGGTCAGAGCTGTGAAGGTAAGCTTGAAGGTACAAATTTTGGTTCAAGTCAATGTAGTATGGAGAGTCATGCACTGGCCGCAAGAATGATGAGGAATCATAAAACGTAATGTTTACAGCATATCTTCCAAACTGATTTTCATTCACATCTACAGTATCGTCAGCAACATACATCACTTGCATCCATGTGTTTTGTAGCATTTTGCAACTGATATGTAACTGAAGATCCTTTTTCCTCTTTATTATGTGCCCAGAAGAGATAACTTTGATCATGTTGGAATAGTTGATTGTATCATTGCTTTCCTGTAACGTAATTTAAAAAGAGGAATTGAGTTTCTTACACATTCTGTATTCTAAGCTGTGATAAAGTAATATGCAATTAAAAGGGTAGCTTCATCTTAAGCTCTTTGAACTAAGCTTGATGTTGGTCATTTCTGTTCAGATGTAAATAAACTTGCTGATATTTAATTAAGCAGAAATTAGTGGAGAAAAACTTCTGAATTCACAGCAGAGCCGACTTGTTGCACTTCTGTACGCTGACCATGAAATGCACAATCACCCTAAATCTGCATATGGCACTTACAGTGATGATTTTCCTCCCTGAAAAATCGTTTCTATTAAGCATGACGATTCCATGAGGCAAGGAATGCTGAAGCAATTAAACCTACAGGTCTCACTGCACTTCTTAGCACCGAGGACCACAGCAATCCTTTCATGACTCATTTCAGAGTGTCCTGCAATTTGGTGCAGGGCTTTAAGCATACCTCTCGTGTCGTCCCACATCTGTCGTAGGGAATGTTGAACACAACCTCGCGTGATGTGAGCGTCGGTTCACAGCCAGTGTCATTCAGGGTGACCCCCTCTGCGTTGTAGCCCTGGGACTGGAGATAGTCCCTGCTAACCACTGCGTGCATGTAGTCTGGCAAGCACGTAAGGGCTGGTGGAAGAAGAAAATATGATACATTTGTGAATTAGGCAACTGGCTAATGATCAAGGGGTGCAACTGAATCAGATGCTGATTTTTACTTAAAGCAGCTCACATTAGAACCCAGAATATTTTGCACACATCACTTCCTTTCCCTTACATCTTGAAATACATGCACATGTTTATTTTGCAGACAGAATCTATAACAGGCTTGGCTGTTGAGCAGCGGTTTCTATTCTGAACAGGAACTTACCGATGTTGTGATCTGCTGGAATGGAGGAGTAGTGGGCCTGAAACCCTCTAGATGTGTATCTTGAATCGCTGTGAAAGCGAACGCTCATCAGGTTTGAAGATGATGTGTACGTGAGAAAGGAACCAGCACAAATTCTCCCAAGAAGTGGAGAAGAGTGTGGGGGCCCATCATAGACTTCAATGTAGTCATACTGGCACCTGCTGCTCTGCATCCTGAGAAACAAGCATCAGCACCTGTCAGTGTGTTCCAGAAGCTCTGGCTGACCTGACGAAAGCCTTCAGCACTTGAAGTTTTTGGGGCAGAAGTTTTATGCATTTCATGTAGTTGCAAGCAGATCCAATCTGTTCTAGTCTTCCAAACGCTGGAAGACGCTCTTAAAGTTGGGAAGGTTGCCTGTCTCAAATATACTTTCAAACTCTTCAAGTAAGTTTTAGCTTTGTTATCTGCCTGGGGAATCGATGATTTACTTACGCAATATCTCTAAATGTGAGCATAACGCGGAAATTATTCTGTACTTGTATTTCCCACACACAGTCAGCATTGTTTGGATAACTTCCAGGGTGGTTTGGGCTCTGCAGCATCCCAGAGGAATTTGAAATTAAGCCACCACAAAAATAAGGTGCTGCAAAAAGAAGTGGAAGAGAATTTACTCACAGTAACCTTTACAGAACAGAACTTTTGCTTTATGTAACTAATCTACAGCTGCTGAAAAGCAGCTCTTCTGCTGGCTTCAGGTCACATTCAGTATGTTCCAAATCTAAACAAATATTTGGTTTTGCTGCAGGTTCACTTTCACACTGCTGGTTCATTGTCACATCCGTGGTGTCAGATCACCATCTTCAGGTTGCTCAGATCTCTTCTTTCTGCAGTCAAGGTCTGATTCTGGGAGAGGTCATGAGAATCAGCATGGGAACACCTTCCTGAGCAGACAGCATCCCCTCACATGGAAATAAGCACTCCAGGCAGCTGGGCAAGGCCTTAAATGTATTATCTCTTGCTTTGCCTATGAGGGTGGCTACAAAATGCCAGCATGAATGTGTTCTTACATAAAACACAGAGATAATCCTTACAGCTTCCTTATAGGAGGGTGGGCATAAGCTCTGAACATAATTCCTACAGCATGTGACATGCAAAGGCAATCCTCCATTATGTTTTCTGTGAATGCTCAAGTTCTGAATTCTGCTTCTCACTGCAAAAACAGCAGGATGAAGGCCATGGAAGCTATACACCAAACAGAACCCAAAGTACAACACTTGACTGAGAAACTACCTGCAGCTGTGAATGCAAATGGCGAACATTTCAAGTAAAACCGTATCAGTTTGAAAACTGCTGTGTGAGCACCGTACAAAAATCATCACACTAAATAAAGGGTACTGCACACAAACAACAAATGCCAGTAGAGTAGCAGTGCGCATGCGGTCTTGGCATGCCTTGACATCAGTGCACTTCGGGTTGTTAGCTCTGAACAAAAGGATGTGAACACCTTGGTAATACCAGTCCATGGTTTGGTCCAACCAAAGAACTCAACAAAATGCAAAAGATGAGAGCCACGGGAGAGCCTTACCTGCATCCGGTGCTGGGGTGCTCACAGCAGCTGTGGTGGAAGAATAGGAGCCACGGGTGAGCTGTGATGCTCAGATGAAGGAGAACCAGGGTGGGGTGTTGGATGGAAGGGATGGAGCACAACGAGGCGCTCGTGGAGCTGGATCTCCATCACCCACATACCTGCACAGATGACACTGGCATCTTCCTCGTGCCCACAGTTGTGCACGGCCCAGCCGCCGTGCCGGCAGCGCAGCAGGGAGGTCTCGTCCCCACGACACTGCACGTTGTCCAGCAGGATGTGGCCTGTGCCGGCACCAAAGCGAGCGCTGCCCGGGGCGGCGATGGCAGGCCCACAGCCCAGCTGATGGCACACCACCTGCGCGTCCCTCAGGCTCCACAAATCATCACACACTGTCCCCCAGCGCTGCCCGTCCTGCACCTCCACGCGGCCCTCGCATTCATGTCGGCCGTCGGCCAGCCGCACACGGGCGCCTGGGGTGTGGTACATTGAACACAGTCAGGGCATGTCAGAACTCCCCAGCAGAACCCATCTCCAAGGAGCTCCCATTCCATGGCACGCTCATCATGCAGAACATTTCCACAAAATACTTATGGAAATATTTATCCACTGAAGGGAGACACACTCCGTGACCCTCTTCTGCAGTGTCCCAGCTGCCATAAAAAGAAATCCCCCTACTAGCAGTTTCCTGGCCCCAAGATACAGACTTCCAAACTACCAGTTCCTCCTCATGCTCTGCTTGCATCCTCCCTGCAGATATGACTGTCAGGAATGCTCAACTGGAATGCATTCAAGACCAGGCTGGATGTGGCTCTGGGCAGCCTGGTCAGGTGGTTGGCAACCCTGCACATAGCAGGGGGTTGAAATTAGATGATCACTGTGGTCCTTTTCAAACCAGGCCATTCTATGATTCTGTGATATGAGTGGCCAGGGCTGGGAGATCACCTCCATGCTAACTGGTGTGAGAAGGGACATTGGAGGCACAAAGAGGCACAGTGAGTGACGATGGGCACACTTACCTTCAGTGCTGTACTCCACTGGGAAGCTTGTCTCTGTCAATATTTCTGGAACTGAGGAACTTGTCTCTGTGGTGGAGGTCACTCCTAAAATACAGAAGATAATATCAGCCACAAGAGGGTGGGTGGAATGATAGGAATGACCAGGCAGAGTCCCTCAGAAATGAAGTCAGGACAAATTATTATTCCATAATATTTCATCTCGACAGAAGTTAATTTATGAAAGCATAAATTGGGTGCCATTTATAGAAAACACTTTGGAATAGTAAAATGTTCCAGTACCTGAACAGACAACACCAGCATCCTCATGGTGGCGGCAGTTGTGACTCCCCCATCCAACGTGACTGCAGTGCTGCAAGGCCAGCTCGTTTCCCTGGCACCGCACGTCGTCCAGCAGGATGCTGCCTGAGCCTTGGCCAAAGTAAGCGCTGCCCGGAGCTGCAATGGCCTGGCCACATCCCAGCTGCCTGCACACAACCTGGGCATCAGCGAGGTCCCAGAGATCATCACAAACCGTCCCCAGCTGGCCTTCATAATACAGCTCTACACGGCCCTCGCATCTGTGCCGTCCATTGACCAGGTGGAGACCGGTTCCTTTGGGAGAGAGGGAGTTGAGCACAAACACAGTTGGATGAGTTAGCTGGGAATGACCTGTAGAAGTTGCTTATCCCATCCTCCTGCCCCAAGGTACCACCATTCCCCGTGGGTGCCTGACTGGCCTAGTATTAGCCATCGGTGTGGACTGTGATGGTGGAGGGACAGACCACAATTTTTCTTCCCACAGCTGGGAGATATCCTCCAGTGCAATCAGGTGTGGGAAGAAACATTGAGGGAATGAGGTGTCTTGGTGAGTGACACTGGGCAGAGTTACCTGCTGTGCTGATATCCATGGGCAAGCTCGTCTCCAACACTGCAGTTGTTGTCCTTGTCGTGCTTTGTGTTCTGTCGGTCGTTGGCACTTCAGTACTTGTCTCCAGAGCAGTGCTAGGCTGTGGTGTGGTTGTTGTATCTAGTGTGGTACCCGACTGTGACACGCTGGTTAACAGTACAGTGCTGGGCATTGGTGTTGAGGAAGTCCCTTCTGTCGGTGTAGCGGTTGTTGGCCATAAAATTGTGAAATCCAGAATGGATGTCATTGGTGTTGTGGTGGTCTGTATAACAGCGGTTGATTCTAATGTGGAGCTTGTCTCTGACAGCCCCATTGTGGGCAGTGAGGGGGGTTCAGTGGAGCTCCATTCTGTGAATACAAATAAAGGACAATTCCCACTATGAAGGACTGTCTCTGAGTAATGAATACGTCTGTGTGTAAGATAGAAACCCGGTTCCTCGGGAATGAAGGCAGGACAAATTACTCTACAAGCATACTCTATCTTGACAGAAGTCAACAGAGAGAATGGAGGCAGGTAAGCGACGTTTTAAAATTACTAAACTGAAAGTGGTGTTTACAGATGGTGATGGCAGGGAAAGGCATTGCTGTGGCACCTGCCCTGAAGTATGGGACACCACGGGACAGGGGAGACCGGGGCTCTCCTCTAAATACTCCTGACAACTATAGATGCCATGTAGGAAATAAATGTCACTTACAGATGCACGGAACACAACATACACACAGAAATAGAGATATCACAGCATGTTTTTTTTTGATATCTCAGAAGTATGTCTGAGTAACCCTACATCCAAATGCATTTGTTGAATGCAATTTTTAGAAAAAGGTTTTGGAGAAGTAGAAATGTTCCAGTACCTGAACAGACAACACCAGCATCCTCATGGTGGCGGCAGTTGTGACTCCCCCATCCAACGTGACTGCAGTGCTGCAAGGCCAGCTCGTTTCCCTGGCACCGCACGTCGTCCAGCAGGATGCTGCCTGAGCCTTGGCCAAAGTAAGCGCTGCCCGGAGCTGCAATGGCCTGGCCACATCCCAGCTGCCTGCACACAACCTGGGCATCAGCGAGGTCCCAGAGATCATCACAAACTGTCCCCAGCTGGCCTTCATAATACAGCTCTACACGGCCCTCGCATCTGTGCCGTCCATTGACCAGGTGGAGACCGGTTCCTTTGGGAGAGAGGGAGTTGAGCACAAACACAGTTGGATGAGTTAGCTGGGAATGACCTGTAGAAGTTGCTTATCCCATCCTCCTGCCCCAGGGTACCACCATTCCCCGTGGGTGCTTGTCTGGCCTAGTATTAGCCATCGGTGTGGACCGTGATGGTGGAGGGACAGACCACATTTTCTTCCTCTCTGCCAGTCCTGAGAGTCAGCTGCATGTATTTCATGCAAAGTTTCTATAGAGGACTAAGCAGGCTCAGAGCAACCTATTTTTGTAAGAAATTTTTGATCATAGGAAAAGCACATATAAGTGAGAAAAGGAAAAAAAAAAGAATTTCATTATCAGAACGAAATCCAAGGAAAATTCGAGTAAGAAAAATAGCAGTGAATTTTTTTGCTTTGTTGATAAGAAGAAAATGTTGTAGGAACGTGTGTTTATGTATTTCTTTTCTTTATTACCTTCCAAATGTTTTCTGGTAAGAAGAGGGAGATGGAACAATTTGCATTGAATCCTAGGTAAGTTTAGGAAGTACGACATGACTTTTCTTCCCCCAACCTCTGTCTTACCAGAAGCATGTACGGGTAGCATTTCTACGTGCTGTAGAAAGACAGTTGAACTTGTGGCAGAGGCAAAGCTCAAAGTGGCTCAAAGAAATTGCTTAGGTTTCAGGGACACAGCAAAATGCAAGGACATCTACTACCTAAACCTATGCTCATTGGGTAACCACAGTGGTGCCATAGAAAAATTACCAGGCAAATAATTTGGAATTTACAAGCCATTCCATACTACTGATGTGCAATATTAAGGACGCTAAGCAGTGTGTTACTTCATTTAAAATGACATCAGAATGAGACCAAATTAATTCTTCTGAAAAAAAGATGGGATTTTAGAAAAAACATCAGCCATTCTTACCTCTTCTCCCTCGTTTATGGAATTTATGTGGAATATGTCTTCCTGTAAAATTGTAAGAGAATTTTAAAGATCTCAAGTCCACATATCACAACTAAATCCTGTAGTTTTTAGGAGTAATTTTATAAGAATTCCACTAAATGTTAAAAAAACTGGACAACAAACACAATGGGATTATAAGCATTTCAGTAGGAATCCACTGGCTTTTACTTTCTCACATGCCTCTAAAATCAGTTAGACATAAAGAAATGCTGAATAACTTTTCGTGAACACACCTAGGTAGCTGCTCTTAAAATAGATCTATTTATATGAAACCCATCTGCTTTTCAGTTTGATTTAGCTTTTTCATAATTCAGATATTCTGCATAATCAATTTCTAGGTCCATTTTTGGTGAAAGAGTTTATTAAAGTGTAAGTCCCCAAATAAATGTTGCAACATAAGATCTCCAGGATTTATACTTTAGAGATCAAACTAGCAAGATCAAACTATCTGTCAGATATATGTGTTGCTTGTTACTTGGCACAGTCATCCAAAGCAAAAGAATCTTGAGAAGTTACCAGCTCCAGGATTTCTTCACTTCATCTAATTCACTGCTGATGGACTAGAGGAGCTGTCAAGACAATGCCCAAACTAAATATTTCCCTATTTACGCGCTGTTAACCATTAGCTCAAAGTGAGGAGCCACACATTTGGCCCTTGATTTCTACAGGTTTCAATTGTTTCAAGCATTTACTTGGAGATGCACATTTATACACCATCACATTTATAAACCATATTTATAGAATTTCTTCAAACTGGAGAAGCAAGCCTGGGGAGAAACAAACTTGGCATTAGGAAATAAAAACTAATCTAAAATGATTTTACTTTCATTCAAGCAAAATAATTTGCTGGGAATCTAATTAGATACGATGCATCCTGCTTTGCACTTCAGAGGTGTCAAAAATGGAAAAGTCTTCAAAGATACAAATGCAGCTCTTGCTGTGACCCGGGAGACAGAGGCAGGGCTGGGGAATGAAGGCAAGAGCAGCGAGAACAAAAAAAAGAGAGTGAGAGAAAGATGGCAAAGAGAGAACAGATAAAGAAAACTGGATGAGGGCAATATAAATTGCTATAATGATGCTTATATAACTAGTTAGAAAAATCGCCTGCAATTATTGTAGGTTATGCACAGTATTATTTAGCTCAAAGGTACCTACATCACTTAGGAGACAGTAACTGTCGTGTAAGGAAAAAAGGACCAAAAAATTTTTGAATGAAAATCATTTCACGTCTTTGATTGTTTTTATCCATCACACAATGATAGACTATGAAAACTAATCTCTTTTATATTTCATTAAATTGTACATAAGACGAAGAAGATTCAAATAACTCAAGCAATATTTTACATGTAGCCTATGTATTCAGATATATATTCTACAATAAGTATCTATTTTAGTAAAAAATAAATAAATTCTTCCATATTTCCTAGGTCAAATTTCTGTAACTGGGAGAATCACACATACATTATATACTCATAGATGCAACTCTAACAACGATTCAAGGCACTGAGATGAGGACTATCCCATGGGTGCAGAATGCACTCCGCTAAAAGATTTAAATAATTATTACAATTTAATATAATTAGGCACAGTTTTGTTCTACTAGAATTGCTAACATCAAGATGCACTCAATTTCACCTTTAAACTTTTGCCCAAGTTAATACCAGCATGACTATCATTTTTTGTTAACAGAATCGACAGTCTTTATAATTTATTTTCTATGTGCCTTGGAACAAGTCTAAGTGGTTTACCTGATCTGGCCTCCAGAACTGCTGCACCAAGCAAAAGGAAGCACATCAATATCATAGTGGTACCCATCTCATCAAGAGCTGTTGATGGAAAGAACCATCAGGATATATACTCTCTATTTCTGAAGGGGAGTGGCTTTACTGATCTCTTTTTCTACAGGAGGACAGTAAAATAAGCATGGCATGATAGTCTGAAGTAAAAATATGTTTGATTTGTTATTCAATATTTTGTCACATCCTGGTTTCTGCTTGAAGATAGTATCTCAAGAGTAACATTTTCCACTGCTTGGAAGAAAATATTTATGCTACTATGAGTTGTACAATCACCTCGTTGTACAAACAAAATGAGCTCTTATCCAAAGATACCTCTTGATTCTGGCTGATTAATCTTATATTTTCCTTTTATGATGACAAATCTTGGCAAGTCTGAGGAAGGTAGTGGGATCCTGAAATTCAAATGGGATTACCTCCAAGAAGGTTGTTAGAGAACTTCATACCTTGGTTCCAGCTACTGTGACGAGTTCCCCGGGGAGCCATCAATGGAGTACAGATTTGGCATACTTTAAATATGATAAAATAGCATCATGATCAAGAACAAGTGGGAGTCTCTGAACATAACCCACCAGAACTGTGGCTGTTGCTAAATATAAAGTGAAGATGACCAATAGACACCTCATCTAGACACTTGGGTCCTATCAGCATTGCTAGCTTTACCTCAACTTCAGTGTTTCTACCTTCAGCAGTAGAGCCAACAAGAAGGGGGCTGCAAGGGGCTGCAGGCTCTTGGTGGTCATAGAAGCCACTGGAAAGGCAACATGATGGAGATGTGAGGAAAGGAGAGGGGGCAATCAGTGATTCTGGGCTGAGCTACCCGTTGCCAGGTATTATAACAAAAAGAGCAGACCTCAGAGGCATCAAGGGCTTGCTTGCTGATTTACTTTCTTGAGCACTTCAGCCATAAGCAGAGAGGATCTCACACCGCTGTAAGTGATACATACTTTACCACACTATGTGGGCAACTTGCTCCAGATAATTAGTGAGGCTGTTCCAAGGTTTTAAGTGAATCACTGTGAGATATCTGAAAAACCTTGTAGCTCCAGCATGAATATATTTGTTTTTGGAATTTTAAGTTCATGTCAAAATTCGTACTCTGTTCACCATGCAATTGTTAATGGCAAGAAAATGTCAAGGGAATCATGGCTAGCTGATAACTTTTTGTGAAAACCAAGCAGAAAAATCAGTGGATTCTAAGCATATTTAAGTTAAGTTACAACTTACGTTTGTTCTAAAATTTGAAAAATGTATCCAAAGCTTTCCAAAGCATAAAATGTTTAATTCTCATTCATCATTCTCTTGTCAGAGTGGCTAGTAGTCTGATAACTATCCTTAGATCGAAGAGCCAAAATATCATTCTGCATTCAATTCTTACCTTTACAGCCATCAAGGCTTGAATGGTATTATCAGCAGTCAAAATCTATGGCACAGTTATTGTAATCTACAAATCTATTGCATCCAAGGAGCCCAAGGGAAAAAGAATGACTTAGAAGGTCTTTCCACAAAGGCCAGCATTATTGCAATGGAAGAAGGAAGTGCAAAACACAAGAGGCCAAAGATAAGGTTGGAAGCCTTGAAAGCAAACTTAAGTGAAGAGTAAATATATTTCTTCTTTATCCAAACAACCACATGCACACACAAATGAGGAAATGTACCCAGCACTTGGTATTCACAATTAATATTCTTCTGTTTTTGACATTTTGGCAAGAAGCAGAGAAAATACAGTACGTTTGGCTGACCAATCCAACGCTGCAATCAGTGAAGCAAGAGTAAGTGATGGACAGCAATTCTCCAAACTCTTGTAATAACTGAAAAGGCGTAGGAGGAAAGGGAACACAAACGTGATTTCCATATGGCTCATTGGAAAAAATACCCACTAAGCTGTCCAGGTAAATGAACAACACTGGTTATTTATTTTTTCACTTCATTCTTCATTAATTAATTCTTTGTGACAAACGTCAAAGATCTGCGTATTTCTAGAGCTCTTAATCATCAGACAATCTGCACAGTAGAAATAGATAACTACTATGTTCAGACTGTATTAAATTAATTCAGTCAAATACCGTAAGGAGGATGTTTTCATCCTTCCCATTGTGTAGAAGGTCCCTATCAATAATGAATTTTTGCTCTCTAGGACTTCTTCTGACAGCTTGAAGCGTTTCTCAGCATATTACTCTCTGAAAGAACTTTGAAAACACTTTATGTTCTGCTGCCTGTTGTTAGGGGGTTTCTGTAGACATTTTGGCTTTTGTGATGTTCGGACAAAAACAACTGAAAGGACGTAGGAGACCAATCAACTTTCATCCATGACTACCCCAAGCATCTACACTGGAATGAGGGTGTCCACAGACTTCTACACAAAGGGACAATAGTCTGAATGCCTGCATTATGATCCCATGAGGCAGTTTAGTCAAATTTATCAGGTTCCTTGACGGCCTCTTGAACTCTGTTGCCTGTGTGACATGAAGCATGTCAATACAAATCAATTTGTGTTTGTTTTATAGTGAGGAGACAAGTGGATCAGAAAAGCTGAGTCATGTCCCTTGGATTTACCAATAGAAGAGCTCCTGAATGTGGTGGGCCAGGTGGGAGGGAAGGTACTTAACAGAAGGGCCATTCACTGAGCACATTTACCTCAGAAGATGATTTTTTTCTTCCTCACCAAGCCTAGTTTTCTTGAACTCCACATTTCTACAATGCTTGTGGATCAAGGAAACTGTGGGGAGATTGGGACAATGGTTTTGGGACATCAAATAGTTGAGCAGTTTACTAGTGTTTTTCACAGCAATATTTAATATGGAAACCACTGCACTTGGTACTTCTACCCTGTATTCTGGTACAACTTTGATATATCTTCATCTAGAACCCCTGGTACAGATGTAGCATGGGAAAACAATTCTGAAAAGCACAAGAATGTTGCTGATTGGAGGCATCAACATCCTGGGCCTAGGATATTTCTCCCAGTCTGATCACAGAGATACTCTGGGAATGTGAGATGTGGAAAAAGTGCCATCAGACTATGAAGTTATGGGGCAGCACAACAGCAGCACAACAGCAGGAGCTGGTGCAAGAGAGAAAGTAGTAGGTGTGTGAAGAGCAGAGAGGATGGTCCTTTTCCTTGACTGCTCTGCCATTCAAATGTGCTTGTATGGTGGTAGGTAGAAAAGGGGAGGACCCTCCTCAGTCCTTATTCTCATGTGTGGGTAACAAAATGCACTTTCATTCTCTGTAGGCATTGGCAGTCCAACCTTGTTAGGTCCCTTCTCCACAGTGCATGGGGAGGTCAGAAGATGCCTGAGGTCACCCAGAAAAGGCAGGAAGAAATACTAGATGCTGTAATGACTGTTTCTGTCTACTCTTATCCTCCTCACCAGGACAAGATGTAGTCTCAAGTATAAGTCACTACTTTGTCTCTGGCTCACCTCACAGGTAGTACATGCTGTTCCTAACAAGCTTTCCTCTGTCACTGCTTGCTAGAAGACAAAAAAGTCTAAAGAGGAGCATTTCTCAACCAAATACCAATGATCTTTTCACCTGTAGTAAATGGGTTTTCCCAACAGGTTCTTCCTTTACTAATGTTGTTATTATTTTGTTTTCACACTGGGATACAAGGCTGGTCACGCTTCCTTATGGCAACTTACATACATTCCCCTTGCCACTACAGGTTTAGAAATGCGTAATAGCAAGAGCACAGATTACTCCTTGGCAAAGTCACTTTCTCAGAAACCATGTCCTTCAATCTGATAATGTATTAGCAGTGAGCTCAGACACATGGGCAGTCTATTTGCAAGTACAAAAAAAAAAAAAGAAAGAAATGTTGCTCTACAAATTCTTCCTCCCCTGTGTTTTTAATTGCACACTTACACAACAGGTTTGATTGTATTTATATTCTATGCAAATATTTATAAATAGCCTACATTTTCTCAGAGAAACATATAAATGTGAAGAACCATGTCCCCCCAGTAAAGTAACATTGTACAGGAACTATTCCTTATGTGCAGTATCTGTGTATTTTATTTTATGGCAATGGATTATTGAGATACTTTTCTCTAAAAGAAATATTTTTCTTGGCTACTCTATGGAGCATCTAATACCAGTAGAACACCACACAAGTGTTCTATCTGCATGTAAGCAATGGCAAAAGAAATCAGTTCTTCTTTCCCAAGCCACCGAAATCAGTCTCCTGAGACACAGCATCAAAACAGGAGCTCAGTTGAAATGCTCTGAAACATCCGAATTGCACCACCCTCCACCTGCAGACTCTTGGTCACCTCTCACATTATCTGGTAGGGGATGGGCTCTTGCAGTTTGCGCTTCAGAAGAATTCCTCCCACTGTGAGGATGGCAGCTGCCAGCACAGCGACGGTCACAGCCAGAGGAACCTGGGAGCTGGCAGCATTCACAGGACTCTCGAGCTCCTCTTTCACCTGGGTGTTAGAGGCCAGCTCTGTGCGTGAGAGAGAAAGAGAGGGACTTACATTCACTTCCTGAGCTAGTTCATTTCAAAGGTAAAGAGAAATTGATATAAAATGGATCTGATCAGATCTGCAATACGGATCTGAATGGAAAACAAATTATCCCATGTTGTTTAAGAAGTGATTCTGTGTCCACACCAAACAAGCAAAGATTATGGCAAGAACTTAAAAAGTAGTTAAGAATGATTGAGCTGCAGTTGTTCTTGTTCACTGCAGGGAGTTGGACAAGATGGCTATAAGGGTCCCTTCCAGCTCAAACAATTCTAGGAACTTGTAATAATTACACTCCAAGACCATAAGATGCTAGTACAGTGGAGACACCATTTATAGGGCGCAGGGAAATATTTTCAAGGGGACCTAAAGCGTGGTTGCTAATAAATAAGAGATATACCAATCAGGCAGAGAAAACATTGAAAATCTAATACAAATCCAGTAGGTAGATGGGCTACATCTCATTTCTCTTCTGGCAGAACTAAATCAATTGCTACTTGACACATGCAGAACAAATAGTTGATCTAAGTATAATAAAAAGGAAATTGTTTGTAAATAGTATTAAACAACTTTATATAAATTCAAAAAAGTAATCTTAAGAATTATAGTAGGGTTGTGAATTAGCCAGCAGAACTGGCTTTCTGAACTGACACGCAAACACACAGCAATATACAGAGCCTTACTTTGAATACAAGTGGAAGTTGTTTGCACTCACCAGCATTCCTGTTCTCACTGGGAGCCTCCTGAAGCTGAACAGGTCCGATGACAGCACTCACTTTTCCCTGGGAGGATTCTGCATTCCTCCTGAACCTGTTCACACAGCCTTGGTAGCAGCGGGAAGAATAGTCACCATACCTGCACACCACCATCTCACACTGCAGGTAGACTGATGGGTAGCGGTTAACAAAGGAGAATGCATTAAATGCAAACCGACTGACGCTTGGATATGGTGAATAGTAAGAAGAGTAGGTAGGGTCTTTAACACACCTAGAGAGAAAGAGAAATTTAACAGATTAGATTTCATTGGGCTCGTTTTCCTCATGCAGATCCCAGAGTTCTCAGGGTTTATTTTATACTGCAATGATATCCCAACACCTATTGTATTTATAAGAGGACATTACTGATTTTAGATTCAGTAAATACACTTTCTTTTGGCATTGTTACATGTCAAATGAATAAAAATTAACTGGAAAAAGACCAGAATCTATTTGACCTGTGTCCTGGTTGAGTGCCCTTTCTGTTTCTGCTTAATGAATAAGTATTTTTATATAAAGAAATCTCAACAAGAGGAGTTCAGACCTCAGTTTCTACACTGCCTCCTGGAGTGAAACTGGAGCTTGACTGCTACTTCTCAATGGGATTACAATTGCCATATTTAATTTTATTTAGGCTATGGCAGAAAGTGTTTATTAAAATTATATTTGTATTGAGAATAACAACCAATGCACACTGGTCCTAAGTTATATCTTTCATAAATGACTCACTTTAAGATCTCTGTATCTAAATACTTTCAAAAGCTTTCCTAAGAAAGTTCTTACCCGCTTCTGATCAAGTCGTAGGTCAGTGTTGTAAAATCATTAGGATCGGGTGATGCCACACACGTATCCACAAACAGCACCAGATTTGAGTCATTGCTGTGAAGAGAAGCTTGAAGGAACAAATTCTGATTCAGATCAACATAGTAAGGAAAGTCATAAACTGGCAAAAGGAAAGAGGAGGAATTGTAGAACGCAAGGTCCACTTCGTATCTGCCATATTGGGTTTCATCAGCATTAACAATACCGTCATTAGCAATGTACATTGCTTGTACCCAGGTTTTCTGGAGCATTTTGCAGTTCACATGTAAATAAAGGTCCTTTTTCCTCTTGATGATGGAATCGACAGCAAATACTCTTATCACGTTGGAATAGGTGAAAGTCTCGTTGTTGCTCTGTTTGGCACATTAGATGAGCGCAAGATTATTGCATGTAGTTATGTTCACACCGTGCAGTACAAACTTCTGTATGTGTCAGATCCTAGTATTACTCAGAAAGAACGTGTCATACTCAAAAACCTAAAGCATCCTATATGTGATTGTTCACTCTATTCTACACTTTCTTCTTTAAAGCATCACTGAAATACATACAGATATTACTTAAAATCTAAGAATGACAAGCAGGAATGTTTAATTAACCTTAGCCTCCGGAAAGACATGCTTCTTTTGTGTGTTTTGAATACTTGTAGACAGCAACGCCCCATGCAATTCTTAACAGTTTTCCTACTGCATATTAAGTTTCTGTGCCCAGATCTGGAGATATGTCCAAAATACATTGACACTCACCTGTCTACGGGTACCGCAGCTGTTGTATGGAATGTTGAATATAACCTGGGTTGATGTAATTCTTGGTCTACAAGAAGAGTCAGACAAGCTAGCATTCCACACGGAGTAACCCTGTGACTGGAGATAGCTTCTCTCTACAACTGCACGCATGTGGGTTGGGAAGCAAAAGAGGGCTAGGGCAGAAAATATGAATTATTAGTGAAGTCATGTAATTAATGATATTCACATGATAAAATTTCACCAAATGCAAAAGCTTCTACCATTTAGGGAAGGTATTTCATTTTTACATCTCACGATTAGATATAAATAATCTCTGACAAACTTCAGTTGACCTTCAGTTACTCTCCTAACAAAAACAAGTAGTATACAATAGTATTTTGATGACACCTTGATCCAGTATCACCACTCATGCATAAATGATAAGAGATGGGAGTCTTTCCTAAATAACCATCCAAAAGCTAATATGGAAGTTGTAGAGATAAATGTACACTGTTTGCAGAAACACTACTTGCTTAGGAAGGAGATCTAGAAACCATCCTCATGACTGGGTCCATTACATGGAAAGGAATGATCCCAGGGAGATTCAAGCTTCTGGCAGAGATAAGTCTCTAGGGACAGCAGGTGATTTCATAAGTATTGATGGCAACTATTTGTGCCTGGAGTGACCGTGAGAACACATTAGAAAAATTCCCCCGCTAGACCACAATGGAAGAGGTCCCTCAGAGAAGTTGTGGCTATGATAATTTCATCCTTTGATGATTTAGAAGCATTGCAACTGATCAGCAGGTTCAATCTTTCATGGATAAGGAAGCACAGATGAGGTTATATAGCAGCCTGTCCAATCTCATCTAAAGAAACTCTGATGACAGGGATGCTAGAGATTGATTCTTCTCACTGAAAAATATTTTTTCTTCTACCAAGACAAGACCTCTAACCATGCAACTTGTACCTGTTGCGTCTCATCTCCTCCATGTGGCCCTTGTGAAAAGAGCTTCCATTGTCTTTGTAGCCACGCTCTTAGTACAGGAATACTGTGATGAGGTCCTCCCATCTAATTCCTTCAGTCTTTCCTCCTAAGGCAAGCTCTCCCACCCTTTGATCATCTATGTGACCATCTACAGACCTCTCCAGTCTATCTATATCACTTTAGAACTGGAGGAACAAGAACTGAACACAGTACTCAGGCTGCTGCCTGACAAGCACTGAGTAGAGGGAAATGGTCACATCTGAGTCTCTGCTGGTAAGACCACTGGAAATGCAGCTCAGAGTGCAATTTCACTTTCATTGCTACATACATACATAATGCACATGATCTGGTGCTGGCGATAGTCCTGCTTGGAATAGTTGGAGTAGGGAAGATTCAAATATCCTTTCTAATGAATTTTTCTATGGTTCTACAAGAAATTGTCCACGAGAATAGAAAAAAGTGAAAATAACGAGGTGATAAGAATAAAGATGAGTTTAGACTGACCATCATTAAAAAAAATGTGGAATCAATTTGATACTCTAAGGTCTTTCTAAAATGGAAAATTAATTATTGTATGGAAGTGATTAGTTAATAATCACTTACGAAATTCAAGTAAGAATGCCATTCTTTTAGGAGTGGTGCAAAAACATTAACAAATACTTTGGCAAATAACATCAGGGTAGGAAAGCCTTTTGGTCAAGAAAATGTTATAAAGTGAATGGAAACTTACCAGTGTTCTGATCTGCTGGAAAAGAATGATAATCAGCATAAAACCCTCTGTTTGAATATCTAGAGTCACTGTGAAATCTGACAGTCATCATATTTGAGGAGGATGTGTACATGATATTATAACCAGAACAAATTCTTCCAAGCAGAGGAGAAGTACTTGGTGGACCATCATAAATCTCAATATAGTCATACTGGCATCCACCTTGCAACCTGAGGAAGGAACATGAACATAGGGTAAAACATGAATATTGGGGTAAAATGCATTTGATAAAGTTCAGTATTATAAATGCTGAATAAACAACAAACTAAGATATGCACTGACACAATTTCAAGGTAATATTTATAATACACGCTTAAGTATTGGGAAAATGCTTGAGAACTGTGCTTTTAAGCTGAGATTTTGCCCCATTTACTAGCCAGGAAACAAACAATTTACATACCGAATACTTCCAAATGTGAGCATAATGCGATAATTGTTCATGACTTGTATTTCCCACGAGCAATCTGCATTATCTGGATAATTTGAAGGATAAAAAGGACTCTGAATTGTTCCAGATGAATTGGAAAGGAAGTTACCACAAAAATATTTTCGAGCTAAAAAAAAGAGATGTAAATGAGATTCACTTAGATTTCCTTATCAACAAATTGATATACAGTACACATAACCGAGCAAATGACGGCAGAGCTTCCAGATAAAGTGAATGGATATAGTCTTCTTAACAAGGCTACAGGTGTAATCATTACAGAATCATGAGGCTACGCTGCTAATTAGCATTTGGCAGGCTTAAGGCAAAAGCGTGCATGAAAGAAAAGAACAGACACTGGCTAAAATATGAAGAATATAAAAGGTCAGAAAAGTGACAGATACTGAAATATACTCACAAGACAATGAGAGTAAAAGAAGGGTAGAAGGTAAGATTACACAAGCCAGTAGATATCATGGAAACATCAGAATTTATTAAAGAGTAAAAAAGACAAAACATCGGGATATAAAGTATAAAGGACAACTCATATAAAAATAAGCAAAGATAAATAAATAAATAAATAAAAATCACCTACATACCAGGTGTGGTGGATACTGGAGTAGGAACAAGGGTTGAGGTATTAGCACCTGTTGAGGGAGAAAGAGAAATAAATAAATGAGGGACATTGGGATGGAGGAGCACACCAGCTTTGCTCCCAGCACTGGGGATGGCAGTGCTGCCCTGCCACGCTGCAATGCACAGCATGGGGGTATCGGCAGGGCCATCTCCCACGGGAGCACGGCAAAACACAGGCTGCAAACATGGCACCACAACATCCCCATGCCAGGCCAAGGAGGGCCAATTCATCAGCCTGTACCAGGACTTGGGAAGGACAACCAATGGTACCTGAGCAGACAACGCTGGCATCCTCATAGTGGTTACAGTTGTGCACGCCCCAGCCACGGCTCCTGCACTCAAAGAGGGACGACTCATTCCCCGTGCACTGCACATCGTCCAGGTAAATCCTGCCGGTGCCTTGTCCAAAATAGGCACTTCCTGGTGCTGAAACTGCAAAGCCACAGTCCAGCTGCCTGCACACAACGTCGGCATCACGGATGTCCCAGTCGTCATCGCAGACAGTGCCCCAACTCCCATTGTAGTAGACCTCAACGCGCCCCTCACACCGGTTCCGGCCATTCACCAAGCTCAGAGAGGCATCTGGGAAAGGAGGGAATAAGGAACACATGTGAAAACACTGCAGCATGCACACATCTTCCCTTCTCAGGGCAATTTCAACCCCACACATGTTTGAGGCCATGAGGACTGTCATTCTCAGCCGAATTAGGCTCCTCATTTCCATGACTCTCCTCTCCTGTTCTTCTCTTCTGTGTCTCTCGTGCTTGTTGAAAGGATATAGGACTTTTGGTGGATGGAAAGCTCAGCATATTTCATCTCTGTTCTTTGGCTTTCAAATGGACCATGCCATTTTGTGGTGGACGAATCAAGCTGCAGTCATCCTGTCAAAAAGAATGCTTGTTCCTCTACACTCAGTGGAGGTGCAGCTGCACATCCTGTACCATGTGAAGTTTTGGGCTCTGAAGTTTTAGAAGGATTTAAAAAAAATGACAATGATCTAGAGGCACGGCTTAATTGACACCGAGAAGTCTCTTTTTCAACACAAACTGTGATGTTTTCAGGTATGACACAGCTCCAGAAGTGTTTACTGGGTATACTGTCTGTTCAAGTATTCATTCCTGTGAAATATCATTAGTAGTCCTTAAAAATACTAAATATTGATTTCTCACAAAGCCCAACCTACCTGAACATGACTGTGATTTGCAAGTGTAAATGTGCCAGCTGGGCTTTTATTGTCTCCAGGTTTTCTTAGGTGTATGAAAGCCTCAAAGGCACAGCTGGTAGAAAAATATATGTCCCTGAGGCTTCGTGATACCATATATGATAGCAGCTGTATCTTACTACTATGTTTCCATTACATGATGTAAAGCAAAGCACTGTTGCTCCATGTGCATCTGCAAGTTGAACTTTCAAGTCTTTTAAAGCATGTATGCACTACAGGCAAGGAACTACATTCCTCCTAAATTTCATACTAATAGACATGGATTTATACAAATAAAGTCATTAATATTTTACAGTAGTATTTATTGTTTTAATCTATGCTAGAGGACACTACTGTAAAGGTCTAAACATTGGTTCATTGCACTGAATTTACTTCAATGCAAATAATAGTTAATCACAAAGTTGATTCGTTTGTATTTTTAATAAGAGAACAATGCTATCTAATTGCAGTCTGTTTTACATATGATCTTTGAACGAAGTTGATTATATTAGCACGAGTTACGTTTATGAAATTGGTGAAGAGGACTAAGTCCCTCTTCTCTACCTATTTGTAAGAACGTTTTAAAAGATTTTAAGTAGTTTACCTGAGATGGCACCCAGAATTGCTGTGCTTAAGAGGAAAAGCAGGATCTTGTTTGTATCCATCTTGCACAAGAGGTGCCAATGAAGCCGAGCATCAGAATTTATACCCCATACCTGTGAAAGGGTGAGGCTCCCAAGGCCAGCCTGTCCAAACAGTGGATGATTATGAAATGTAGTTCAACAGTCATGATCCAAGTTATACCTGGCTTCTTATCCAATGTTTTATGACAACCAGATCTTTACAGGAACAGAACCTATTAAGAACAAAGTTTCAATTTCCTGGAAAATTTGTTCTATCATCATTATTACAAATTATCTTAACTGTATCTTTGACTTGTGAGCATGTCCAGTATTACCTTTGGAACCAGACTGGTGAACTTAAGTATTTCTTTGCTCCTATCATCCCAGTTTGATTTATTTGCTGCCTGTAGCTGAAGACTTAATTAAGCAGATTGCAACAAGGCCAGGCAGCAAACACAAGCAGAGTATCCTGGTCTCATTTACGTTTCTGATGCCTTCCTCTTGAAATTACAGGCTTGCTTCTCTGTTGTTTCTCAACAAACAGCACATAATACATGGGATTAAGTCGGGTATCAAAAATAAGTTATTGCAAGTTATTTGTTAAATACCCTAACTGGAGCTCATTGGGAGTCTCTGCCAAGCTTGCTCTGATTTAGCAGTATCTTCCCCAAATCTATCACTATGCTCTTCAGTTGAATTAGCCAGCAATTCTTTGAATCACAAAGTTTATCAAAAGAGAAGGAAACGTGGCCTGATGAAAAATCCAAAGTTCCATTGAAATGGTTTCATCAGTTGGTCAGTGTGAAGTCTTAATGAGGTTTTAGATAGCTTTGGGAACAACTGCCCATAATCCTGTCCTGCTAATCTTTTAGCTGGAGTCGTTTTATTGCAGTTCTGTAGTTTTTCCTCCTCACATACAGGCCAGCTAGCAACAGGTTGTTTGTTGGTCTAATATTCCGTTCAGTGCGCTTCATACAAGCTTTACCTGTCTATTCACTATGACTATGGTACAAACAGCTGAAATAATTCATGCTTCCTGATGGTATATTCCAACTTTCCTCCTGCAGCAAAACAAGTCTTGAGTGTAGAAACAAAAGGAAATAACAAGTCCTCTTTCTGCAAGGTTCACAGTGCTAGAAGAAAGGAAGAAAAGACAAAAGGGCAGGGTCCAGAAACAGAACCAGGAATTATCAAAGCAGCCACTGAAAAGAGCAAACAATTGGAGCACAATGGTCAATACAACTGATTGTATTCATGTATTGATAAAGAAATGTAAGCATGAACATTGCTATTCACAGCTCTGCTGTTCCCGACAAAAGCAAAAACAACACCATGTGCTCAGTGGAGTCGTCGCACACTGTGTTTGGGAAGGGGCTACAGGGTCTTATCCCTTCCTCTAAATTCCTGAGAAATGACATGGGGCAGCTTCTGGGCTCTCCTGATGGAGGGCTCCCCTGTGCCACCCTGCTACCAAAATCCATATAAGCCCAATGCTGATTCCAGTCTTGGGTTGCCCAGTTTGTAAGAGATATGGACATAGTGCAGGGAGTCTACTGAAGATACTAAAATGATTAAGGAGCATCTGAAGGATGGAGCAACTCTCTTACAGGGAGAGAGTGAGATATTTGAGACTGTGCAGTCTGAAAAGAGAAAGCTCAGAGGGATCTCATTCATTTGTATAAAGACCTGGTGGAGTGGAATAAAGACAGAACTGGACTCTTCTCAGTAATACCTGGTGGGATGGCAAGAAGCAATGAGCACGAAGTATATGTTGAAATGAAATTTACCAAAGCATTTAGGTTTGATAACAGGTACTTTTGATTTACATCTGCTGAAATGCCAGCATCCTCTGTTAAAAAAAAAAAAAAAAAAAAAAAAGGATCTAGAGTTTATTCCTCCTTTCTACTGTACATATCGAAATCACAGCAGGAGGAAGTTTGATGTAAAATAAAGTACCATAAAGACTATAAAACACCCAACGTATTGCACTGCAGGCTTGATAACATATCAGCAATTAGCTGCTGTTCTGACAGCAGAGCTCAGCTTTTGGCCATGCAACACTGAGGCAGAATACGTGAGATTGAGTGTGTGCTACCACAAAACAAAAATGCCAGGTGTGCAAAACCTAAACGAGTTTGCCTGAGAAAACCAACCTGATGACTCAGGACATCTTATATTGGAGTTCAGCTGTTTGCTAAAGCAAGTGTCCTCTTGCTTTAGAGTACTTCCACTTGGATTAAAGACAAAATGTTGTATTTTTTATGCAGTTAAATTCAGTATTCCTCAGGTTTTTGTTCTTAGCCTGCTTTCCTTTGACCCTATAACATGAGAAAAAAAACAAACAAACATTAGCTGTTAGTCTACAAAAACAGCAAAATAAAATTTCAGAGTTCTTAGAAAGAGCAATATATGGATGAAATAAATCTATCTGCCATCTGGGCTCTAAGTAAGTCTAACATTTGGATAGTGCCTGGGCTGGGTAGGTTCTCACATCCAGCAAACCATCTGGGAGAGCTACAGATCTTTCAAACTGAGAGTTTGCTGCAATGTCCCATTTCTTGAATGCTGCTTTCCATTCTGAACTCGTTCTTTCTACTTGTATCAAGACAGCATATAGGAAACTAACACACATTTATCACTTCCTTTTTCAGATGTAGTGATCTTTCAGTATTCAGAAGAAAGAAACCAACCATCTAGTAATGTTACAGTAATTTCCAGCACCAGCTCACTTACAATGTATTGCTCAACATTTATGCTACTGGTCAGCTTATAGAAACTGTTGAACACCAAAGTCCTTCTAGAGAAAGCTAAAATTAGCCTACTTACGTCATTTTGTCTAAATGATAATAGCCATTCCATCTGCTCTGATGACCATTTCTGTGTATTTTTAACTACCCTACATTTTTTTTTTCTAGTTCTCACAACATAACAACAATAACATAATTCCAAAGACCTTCCATGCCTTGTGAACTTCACAAAAGCCTTCAAAGTGAATTATCTCACTGCACATCTTTATTAAGGACTTCTTCTTCATCCTACGGACCTCCCAGAATTTGTCATCATCTAAAAAATTATCATGTGACTGAACATAAAAATGCAAAGAGAAAGATGAACTGGGTTGCTTAAAAAAAAATTACACTGGATACAAAAAAAAATGTGACTAATTCTTATTTTTAATGTGTTATTTGAAAATCAATTGCTAATAGAGTAAGAATTCCTTTTTGTTACCTGTCACAGTGAATTCCAGCCCCATGTCTTTATCACATCTCTGTCTCAATTATATACTTCTGCAAAGAAACACTTGTGGTTCTACGTGGAAAAAAAGCATTGTATTTACTTACTGATTTTAATCATAAAGCATCCAACAGGATTAAAGGTGTTGATTCCCTAAGATAGTTTGTGCTCATTTTGATGATCAGCTTGACTTATACAAGATAATTCCCAAGCTTTCCTACTTGGTGGCTGGTACAGCACATGTCTCTCTTCCCAGAAGAGTCTCTTGCAGGAATTTAATCTTATTTCAGAGGTTAAAAAGCAGAAGAAACAAAGAGCCATAATGGAAAAGTCAAGATTACTGGTTTGGGATATTCTCATCTGAAAGACCTCCAGCATTTCAACACGTCCAACAAACTCTGCAGGGAGAACAAGGAAGGCTTCCCCCCTTGCATATGCTGAATTTCAGCAAGATCACCAGATTTTTGCCAAGGAAATAAGCCTTTCCATCCATGCAAACAGAGGGGTACCAGAGAATCCCACAAACAATCCAGCCATATTATCAAAGGTAATGGGGAGCTCCATAAGGAAATTTGTCTGCTGCTCTAAAGCTGAGCCAAAACTCAACTCCCTGCCAACACTCACAAAATCCACACATCCAACAGTGTGTGAATCTAACAGGTGAGAATTGATTGAAATGTGCCACTGAGGAGGCTGCTCACAGCTAATGCTATTCCATGCACAGGTCTCATATGTTTGCATCGCTGAAGCCGCAATCATATTCCCTGCTGTGAAATTCTTGGTGACCTACAGAGTTTTATCTTAACAGAAGAATGGTAATAGAATAATGTAATAGTAATAAAGCTCTATTTTAAAGAACAAATCAAAGCTACGTGCCATAATTTTATCAAAACAGAATTGTAGGTGTTGGAAAATCATCGAGTCCAACCCCCCCTAAATGTTTCCCCAAATGTTTGGTTTTATTTCTTGTGGCATTTTGACTTAGGAAAGTATATTTTTAATAGTTAAATATGCACAAAAGAAAACATTTACAGTTAATTAAAAAAAAAAAAGTCCTCACGTTTCCAGTCCAACATGACCCTGCTTTCTGAGCTGTACCTATCTTTTATTTTCCCTGTACCATCCATGGCAAGATAGAGTACAAAGTACAGTACATTCAACTTTTTTTTTTTTTTTTCTATTTTTTTGTTCCAGCTAAATGGGCAGATCGTTTCCACCAGTGCAGAACTGTGCTTTTCATCATTTGAGGAGTGCCATACATGTGACACTGTGAGGTAACAGGAGTACTGGACTTACTGAATGGTAGAAACACACCCATCTCGTTCCCCCACCTTTCCCCCTCATTATTATACATTATAAAAAAATCTGTACGCAAGGAAGAGATGTTAGAGAATTTTGCCACACTAGATAAAGTCAATTTTAGTTATATGTTGCTGTACCATATATTGCACTGCTTACAGTTTAAATGGGAGTCAAGATAGGTTGATAAAATTAAACATTAGAATTGACAATGAAACTCTGCAAGTGTTTAAGCTACTTGCATAACTTTTCTCATGAATAGTCTCCTGAAAGCTTTGGAAATATTTAGCACAGCTAACTGTTTGCCTATCTCTCTTCAAAATCAAGCCTTCAGTACTTTCCCAAATCCATTATGAAGATATTTGCTGAAATGCTTTTAGTTCAAGTGATACCTTCCATTCATACTTTACAAAGAGGGTGCATTCTGAGGGCACCATATCTCAAAATCCACACTGGAAAACTTCCAAAGGCCAATCCAGCCTATGCAATAGCCTCCTACAAAGCCCAGC